CATCCCAAGTCTGCCTGTATCAATACTCATACCTGCCACATCCTCAACCACTTAACTTACTCACACAATCATCTCACAACACGTTCGCCAACCCTCGTATCACAAAGCATGCACGCACGCACACACACATCGCATTCTTCTTTCCCCACCATTATGTCTACGTCAGCCATCATGGATCCATGCGCATGCTTTCTTACATAATCCATCCTCCCACCGTTCCCCAACATCCATCGAACTATAACTATATCCGTCCTCATGTATCGGTATTCGTGCTTACATACATACACCCTCCAACCATTCCCCTACAACTATCCCACTATAACTATAACTACAACCGCCTTCGTGCATCCGCACTCATGTTCACATTGCATTGCATGCATCGAATTACGCGTTTAAAATATCGTAACTATTTTACAATATGTACATATTAAATATCAGCAAACAGAGAGTATTTTAACGCAATAGATTTCATCCGTCAAAACATCACAGAAAGAAGGGCAGCCTGGAATTGTACAATGGCATCAGAATGCACTAAGAAGCTCAACTGGTCAGGAGGTGAGAGTTGCGGAAGATTACGATAAACTTCAGTTACAGATCTCCATTACGAATATCTAAAGTGTGAATAAAGTTTAATAAAGTTCACAGTTTGCTAGGACGTGTTCTGCATTCCTGCAGATTTAGCAATGACCTTAGCTATAAAAGGTATGTCTAAATGCTCATGTAGACAAAGACCCAACTGTTTATAGGCATGACCATATTATATTCTACGCAAATATCACCACATTTAAAAACAAAGCTAGATTGAGTCTTTGACTTTGAAGGTCATTAAGAAGTGATACAAATAAGGAAAAAGATTATGGATGTCAACGTCTTTATTATGAGGAACACAACGTTTCGGAGTATACACTTACTCCTTCATCAGGTGAGTAAATGCTATGAGGCAGAGAACATATATATGTACCTGTAAGAACAACAAAAGTAAATAGATAGCAAAGAAGGAAACGTAACAAGGGAAGCCAACAGATAATTGGCGCTGATTACCCCGGCCTCCCGTTTGCCCATTGTCTATTGCCCATTACCAGTCATTCATAAGTTAAGTTTTGGCTTTAATTTGTCCATTGATAATCAACCATCAGCGTCTATTATATCAACCCTAAAAAGTACGAGAATATGTAGTTTACTGAGAAAGTGTTATCCAAATATAATATGTGTTACAGTTGACCACTTTCTTAATGGCATTGTGGGTTCAAAGCTTTTTCGGCCATGGGAGCCCTGACATTTTTCATTTGTCAGAGGGGTAAAAAAATATGTGATCTGGACTAACAGTTGTCGGACTTTATTTTTGGTTCGGTGGCTGGGTTAGATCGCTGACTTTGTGTGCTGGCGATTGGGTGCCTCACTCACAATGTGGGTTCAAATCCCGGACGGGACTCAACCCAAAAAAGGAAGAAAGAGTTATCCCAATTATAACATTTGTTGTCAAGAAAGTACAATAAATGTATATTCGGCTTTGGATGGACGGTAAAACACACTTATTTATTAACTTGCATCGGAAATTGAATGTTCGGCTTAATTGTTATTGATGAACATGTAATAATATATTTTTAAAGAAATAAAACAGTGACATAATAAGTACAACTTTATGTGAGCACAAGTAGCTCTATTGGAATGAGATGAATAAGTGTTATAAAGTTGTAAGCTTCTTCACAGCCGTGTAACTATGAATTGACCAGAGGCTATCAGCAGTATTTCCTGTCCAGGTTATTTAGGTCCGGGCGAGCGCGTGTGTGTGTGTGTGTGTGTGTGTGTGTGTGTGTGTGTGTGTGTGTGTGTGTGTGTGTGTGTGTGCGTGCGTGCGCGCGTGTTAGCGTGTGCGTGTGCGTGCGTCTGTGTGTGTGTGCGTGTGTGTGTAAATGTGGGCCTGTTGGATATTACATAAAACATTCATCTTGAGCGGGATGGAAGTTCGAGTTGGATAAGCATGTTAACTATATGATCTTCTTGAAGTAGAGAATGCCGCGCATGAATGTATTAATGAGATTCACGGGTACATCGGGCCTTTTCGTCACCAGGAATACCCACAGTGGAGACTTAAATGGGGATAGAGTACACAATGAGCTACCTGGTAGATTGTGTGTCATTAAACCGGACAACGTTGGTCTTTGACTGATTGTGGCGTAAAACACACTTGTTAATGTACTTGTATCGGAAACTGAATGTTCATCTTAATTGTTATTGATGAACACGTAATATATTTTTATAGAAATAAAACAGTGACATAATAACTACAACATGTGTGTGTGTGTATGTATGTGTGTGTGTGTGTGTGTGTGTGTGTGTGTGTGTGTGTTTGGGGGGGGGGGGGGGGGGGTTGGGGTGAGAGTGGGGATAGATGATAGATTTAGCAACAAGTAAAGTCATCTTGAGCGGGACGGTATTCGCAGATGGATTAGCATATGAACTATTATTCTCTTTAGGTAGAAAATGAGGATCAACGATGTTCGACCTTGTAGAAGTGTGTAATCAAACCTCACAGCATTGGTTTTTGACTGACTGTGGCGTCAAAACAAACTCATGCATTTACTTGAACTGAATGTTCATCCATATTGTTATGGAGAGTCACGGAGCCGTGTTCCAGAGAACAGGGTGTCATCAGATAAAAAATAAAGTAATTATAGGATTACCAGAAAAAAGGGATATAACACCAAAGCCAATAAGCTTCGCTCAGGAACACCAGAGTAAGCCAGTACAAGATTGAAAACTGCCCCATAATTATGTATGACAGGCTTGTCGGGTATTGCCACATGTATATGTGAAAACAAAGTTATTAAAATGAAGAGCAAAACTGATGAAAGTTATCAATAAACGTGTATAAGTGTTATATCGTCACTGCAAAAATAATGATTGTTAGTCTTTAGTATTAAAATTCAAATACGTTATATCTGTATTAGCGATATTGTCTACATTCCACCGGTGAGTAAGCGTTAGCCTTACTATCTCGTAGTATAAATATTGAAAGAAATTGTATTTCTGAAGACATCACGATACAGTTTTTACGATGTATCACGTCTGCACTAGCGCTTGATAACAGCCTTGTGTTTGGGTGTTTCAGTAGTTTAAATCACTGCTCTTGATATTGTTGATTAAACTTTGATACTATGGTAGATGCAAGAACACAATCGGCCGGAATACAATGTTTAATACTGGTCCACTTCCATATGACTATATAGCATACAATAAGCTTTCGGGTCCCGTTTGGATCGGTTTGGGTGGCAGCCCAGATAGCCATAGAATAGGTTCATCTCAGAATCTCCCATATCACTGGGGCTCCCCTTCAATTGAAATGGAGTTACTTGTTTCCTTCAAAACTGTACAGTTTTAGAGACTAAACATTAGTCTGAATAGACATCACCAGTTTGGAATTGTACTATTCCGAACTTATCACGAGACTGTGTTTATGAATCATTGTCAAATAGTGATGACATTAAATCTAGGAAACAATAAGCGAAACCGCGCATGCACAGAACGGAAGATTTGGACAGGGCATTAAGCAACCCGCATGCGCAGAACGATTGATTTCAGTACTTCCGCTAAGCGCTTCGAGTGCAGCGTCAAACTCGGGCCTGTAATCTAACACGCGAGAACTGACCAATGAAATCTGAGAAGTAGAAATACCGGTAGACGTCGTTGCTTGATTGGCAATGTCAATCAAGAAAGGGTGGAGCTTGATAATATCGTTCTCCTGTAAATTCCGATGTCAAATAACGACGTTATTTGGACGGAAAAACGATGGTTTGAAAACGTCCAAATAACGTCGTTTTTCCGTCCAATGACCATACGGAAAAAAACGACGTTTTCGTGTTTGCAGTGATAGTTTCCTAAATGTTATGACGTCACGTAACTATATGTTACTACTTCATGTCCGTTATTCAGTTATGGCCTGATAAGACTCGTACGTGGTACGAGTTGAAAGCGCTAGCCTATTAAAACTGTGTTCAATCTTACTCCACTTATTTAATTATTTAATTATAACTATTACAAAGTCATATATATACACACACTAGGAGTTGAAGCTGCAGTAGTAATAGCAGTAGTAGTGGTAGCTGCAGAGGGTAGTAGTAGTATTGGTAGTGGTAATAGTAGGAGAAGTAGTTGAAACAAAGGTTGTAGTAGTAGCAACAGTAACAGTAGTAGTAGTAATAGCAGCAGTAGCAGTAGTGGTTGTAGTGTCAGTGGTGGTGGTGGTAGTAGAAGTAGTAAGAGCAGTAGGAGTAGTGTCGGTGGTAACAGTGGTGGTAATAATAATAGTAGTAGTAGTAGTGGTAGTAGTAGTAGAAGCAGCAGCAACAGTAGTAGTACTAGTCAAGTAGTAGAAGTAGTAGTACAATGTAGTAGTAGCGTATTCCATCACTGAAAGGAATAACTGGAAAAAACAAATTACAAGTACACTCGTCCCCAGGTCTCCATGTTGATATTAATTTATGACATCGCAGCCAAGTCGTCATGTTGACGCATTTGCAACTCGCCTGACCGACTCCAGATCGTCATGCTGACGTATTACTCAACATCACCGCGAAGTCCGTCATATTGACGTATACCTGACCTCAAGATAAGATATAAATAACGTGACAACAAAGTGAGGCGATGTACCTATATGCCCTTTACTTGTATATTGCGTATACATTATGAAAACAAAATACGTAACATCTCAGCTCCCCTGAAAAGATAATGGCCAAACCCTTCATGCCACTAATGGTACAGTTTGATACCGTAAATCAAATCCTCAAGATAGTTTTGTTTGTTTGTTGCCTAACGCTGAGCCGGCGTCCTGTAAATAAGATAATCTGGATAAGAAAAACAAATGTTCGATAGTATAAGCAACGTCACGCGCCGTCAGGGTACTATCACACGCAATCAACCAAATCTCCGAGCCTGACCACCTGATCCATGACGCAACTAGATAATATAGGTTTCTGAGAATCAACCCCCAGATAACTTACCCCAGGCATCACGACGTCCTCCACGTCCTTGAAGATGTCCTCCCACGTCTCTGGTGCCTCCGGTGCTTCCTCTCTCATCATTGACGTCAGATACCCTGGTCTGACGCGATGCATGACGTCACGATCTCGTATATTCTCGTAGTAGTCCGCGATATAATCCACCATTTCTCTGCCATGTCTCCGAAATTCTTCCGCATTCATTGCTAAAAGTGAATGACACTTAGAGTACCTTATTGTCTGGAAAATACAATTATATGCAATGAAAACATTAGTTCTTATCAAACATGAAACACATTTGCAAATCTTAGTCTTGAACATGATATGCTCCGCACCTCTACGCGTACTTTTAATTGGTTGTTACAATGAAAGGTATAACACGCTATCTCGTCTTTGGACCCTGTTTGGCACAACCGAAATGTCAAAGTTTAAAACTGTGTGGTAATAGTACGGACTTTATCAGTTGAAAGTACATAAAAGTCAGCTTGAGTTAAAGGTATGCTCCTGTAAAATGCTTCCTGAACAGATTAGCTTTAAGAAAACATAAGTGCTCAAAACAAGCATGTGTGAAAAATAAAATCTTGTTCTCATGTCTTCAGTGATACAGATCCTGGGGGCGAACACGTCGCTATATAAGTGCAATAATCTTAGACGCGACGTTAAACCCCATTTCACCTCTCAACATGCTCAGCATATTCTGATAAGAATCAAGTACCTAACACAATTTATGCCATTGGTATTATACGATAGTAGGGATCGATAAAAACAGGCGTTTCATGTTTTGCAGATCAATCAACGAGTAATTACTGCAATCCCCTTTTATATATCATATGACATTTATGTCTGAAATACAGAGTGAGTGATCATGAGTTTCGTATGAAAGTGATTTACCTCTGCCTGTCCTTGTTGACACGAATATGTCTGACCCAACTCTGCACTGTGACTTTTAGTACCTTAGAAGACTGGGCTATCTGGGCAGAATAAATGTGATAACCGAGCTTGTGAGTGGCTGTATCCTCGAAGGGGGTTGAAGTAGTGTAAAATTATTGTCACCCTGAGAGGGTATGTAAGACCACGTCTTTCAAAGTAAACTGACGTCCAAAAGAAACTTTACCAGAGTTTGAAATCACTCTTGCTCAAAAACAACAAAACATACATGCATAAAGTAGAGTGTATTGAGAAGATCAATATATCAACATAATCAACACTGAAAATGACAATCATACCGCGACCGAGAATGACGTCAGAGCCCCCCAAAGTTGGGTGTGGTACAAAACTCAAGCTTTCAGAATCATGGACAATAGGCAGAGTACATAAACAATCGCTCACGTTCAATAACAAGTCATTAGTAGCGTGTGTGACCACCAAATGCCTCAATACACGCAAAAACTCTTCGACGCACAGAAAAGATCAGTCGTCTGATGAGGTCACGTGGGATTTGACGCCATTCTTCTTGGAGGGCCAATATCAGTTCTTGCCGGTTGGCTGGAGAGTGTGGTCGTTCTCGACCACGACGGTCCATCAAGTCCCAGAGGTGTTCTATGGGGGACATGTCGGGTGAGCGTGCAGGCCACGATAGATGACACCACGTGGCTGCTGATGGAGAAATGGTAGGACAATTGGACGAAGAATGTTATCCATGTAACGCTGAGCTGTCAAGTTTCCGTCAACGATGACCAGCGGTTTCCTCTCCAGCCAACAGATCCCTCCCCACACCATGACACTCCCTCCACCATATGGTACGACCTCCTGCACGCAACACGCCGCCGTTCGTTCACCCCTTCGGCGGTAAACACGTTGTCTTCCATCAGCCTTAAACATACAGAATCGACTTTCGTCAGTGAAGACAACCCTCTGCCAGTCACGTCGTTGCCAACGTCGTACAGTCCGGACCCATCTCAATCGCAGACGACGATGTTGCGCTGCCAATAGCTGTCCTCTGTATGGTCTAAAAGCCCTGATTCCATGAGCCCTGAGTCTCCTGGCCACTGTCTGTCGACTAACCCTGTGACCTAAGGCATTTGTCGGCGATGACGTCACTATCAGGAAGCGATTTCGGAGGTGCAAGGCAATTTGGTAACGGCAACACGGGAGCAACCGAAGGTTCGTGCAATATGGGCGTGGGTGGCTCCCATCTGTACCATACCCAAGGCTCGTTCACGTTGTTCGACTGTGAGTCGTGGCATTTCTTTTGTCTTTTTTATCACTGTGGATGTCTGACTTGCCGTTGCAATCGTTTTTATCCCTTACCCACACGTGCATTTGCCGTTGTCCGTGGTGCACGTGTTTTTCACTTTTTCGCGTCTTATCTCGCAAACATGTAACAGACGATTAACATTTTCTGCACACACTATTGTTGTATTTAGGGTATGTGTTTTAGATAGACTTCAACAAAAAAAATTATACTTTGTCTGAAATTTATATTTTCAGTTGGTAAAGTTTCTTTTGGACGTCAGTTTATATTTTTTCGGCCACGTTTTTAATAGTAGTATATATGTTCGTTCAACTTTGGCTAAATTTGTCATGGCGATGGCGATTATTAGTTGTATGCTAGTTTTAAGTATTAATCTGTGATATTTTAGTGATTTTACTGTCCATCGATGACAAATTTAAATTTAGTTAAAATATATGTATTTGAAAATGTATAATTTCTCGTCACGATATGGCTGAAATATTGCCGATGTGACGTAAAACATTAACTCACTCACTCACTAATAAAAATATAATATTATATTTTACATATACAGTTATACCACTTAATTGGCAAAACTAAAAAACAATCAGCTAAGTGTTACCACAGATTCATTATTCTTATCACAATATGCTGCACGTGATTTCTAAACTTTACACGCTAATCCTACACGAGACAAATGGTGCATCTCGAGTCACGGATCTATGACGTCACATGCAATGCGTTCATGAGCGTCAAAATGTTCGTCTGTGCATCGAACCAGTCTAATATCTCTTGAATATGAGTAATTCTTCATATATTAACCAACATATATGGTATTCGGGTTTCTTTTGTCGGTGAGTATATGAATTGAGCACATGACACGCTCATTTCTCATTTTCCATTAATTTCATAGTTTGTGTCATGATGTACATGTATATTCAGGTGGAGATGTTGCTGACTTACCTCAAACTGAACAGACAAGAGACCTGTGACTGGTATGTTTATGCACGATGTGTATGCTCTTCTTTATATAACGAACTGGAGTCGATGTTCGAACGCGACGTAAATAGGCCGATCTTATCTGGGAGCGGTCACAGATAAACTCTTGAAGCCACGATAACGGATAGTTCAAAAAGGGTTCATTGGTTTGGAAACAGATTATTGGTTTTGTAAAGTGAGAGAGTGAGCATGTTTTTAGCAATATTTCCAAAACTATCACGACCGGAACACCAGAAATGGCTACGTACCCCATCGCCCCGGTTTTGTACAGCAAATAGTGAGTGAGTGAGTGAGTTGGGTAACAGTATTCCAGTCATATCACGGCGTGTCAGCTTAATGTGGGAGGAAAGCCCGAAGTGATGCAGGTCTCAGACGTTTACCACTTCGGTGAAACCCACGAGCACGGGTATGATGCTGACAAACCTAGAAACATAATTGGGGCGAACCGGGATTCGAACCCACAATCATAGGTTTCTGGCGTGCCCAAGGGACGCAACTCTGCACAGCGAATCGCGGCGCCTTAGACGACTGGGCCACCCGTGCCCCCTACAGCAAATAGTGATTATAGCGTATTTAGACAGAGGGCATTCTTATCGTGATATGTTCCAAGGCATGACCATGATGTAATAATGTCTGTACGTTAGTGTACTGTACCATCTTATCTTGGCAACCAGAAATACTTAAACCAACGGTACGGGGTGGATACTGAAGATGCAATATATACTGAACCGCAAAAGAAACGTCACCATGGATAGATATATGAGAAACAGTATTTGTCCAAACACTGTAAACATACTTTGAGACATATAAAAAAGATGAAATTTGGCAAAACTTATCATAAAGGTTGAAATTAAAGTGTCACATGTTCTTAGAGTGAAATGGCATGACAAGTCAGTATCTCGTGTGTTCGCCATGTGCATTGATGACTGTCGTGCAACGTCGATACATGGAATGGATGAGGCGGTTGATGAAGGTCATCGGCACTTGACCCCACACTCTGAGGAACTCCTGACGCAGTTCAGCTTCAGTTGTTTGCCTTGGTCGGACGTCATTCAGCCGTCTTTGAATCTCATCCCACAGGTGCTCAATGGGATTTAAATCGGGACTGAGGGCAGGCCATTGCATGGTTCCGATGCCATTCTGCTGGGTGAAGTCTCCTTTTGCTCTCGCAGTGTGGGCACGGGCGTTATCATGCTGAAACTCGTGGTTGCGGCGACGTGCCAAAGGAGGTATGGCGTGTGGTCTCAAGACTTGATCAATGTACCGAGCTGCTGTGACACCATTGCCTCTCCCTGCACCGATGTTCTGGAAGACCACAGGGCCGACCCTAAGTGCAATACCAATTCCACCCCACACCATGATGCTCGGAACACCCCACGAGTCTCTCACAAACACAAGCACCCGAATAACGTGCCCCACGCCGTCGCCAGACTCTCTGCCATCTGGTGTTGAGATACAGTAACGGCTCTCGTCTGCGAAGAGGACTCTTCTCCACTGCTGGTGGTGCCTATGCTGGTGCTGTGTTGCCCACCGAAGACGGTCCCGGCGATGACATGGTGTCAGAATGGGTCCTCGTTGTGGCCTGTGACAGTGGAGGTGTCTGCTCGTCAATCGTCGACGCGCGGTGTCCGCACTAATATGTCGCTGGTATGTCCCGATGGTAACAAAGCGATCTTGAAGATGCTGTCGCACAATCTGACGATCCTGACGTCGGGTGGTGACCCTTGGTCTTCCACTACGTGGTCGGTCATCTGTCGTGTTGGTGGTCTGGTACCGTTGCTGGAGCCTGTATATGGTCCTTACGTGGACTTGAAATGCATTGGCAACTTGCTGGGCGGTCTGTCCAGCTTGCAATCGTCCAAGGGCTTGGTGTCACTGATGTCTTGTCAATCGTGGCATGTGGTTGCAATTCAATAACGAATGAATGTTATCCGATCTGGGTAGATTTTTATAGGGCAAGAACTGGGGGAACGCATGTGCATTTCAATTTGCACGGAGCTCACGTGCATCGGGTTACCATGGCCGTTGCCGTGATGCGTTTGGGCGATCGGTTTTATTGTCATCCGCTTTTTTTTTTATCATCAAATTTCATTTTTCCGGACAAGGCAATTTTAAATTTTAGAAACTTTGAAACAAATTACCCAGATATTTAAATGACAACTTTTCATGCAATGTTACACGGGGTGACGTTTCATTTGCGGTTCAGGATAGTTAGAAAATATTATTGATTGTGTAAAGATAGTAGTGTTTATAATTTACAGAATCTGGATCCAAGTCTTCTAATCACGACATGGTCTTCATCATGAGTGAGGTTCAAAATACAATGTACCTCAATACATAAGACATTGATAACGTATAAAATGGATCTGGACAAATATTATACAACTTGGCTGCGAGACAGATAATTGATTTAATTCCCACCTCATATGTACATGTAAAAGAACATAAGAATATACATATAACAGTATCATACAATTATTCATGAGAAACTCTATAGGGTTATGTTAGACTTCAGTGCACATATTAAAGTGTATGTACACCACATAAAATGCAAGTATAAATACATGAAAAATAAGTAAATAAATAAAAAGAGGTATGACCTACATAGAAGATGGTGTGTGTGTATGTGGAGTTTATGTGTGTGTGTATGTGGTGTGTGTGTATGTTTGTGTAAGTATTTGTGTTTGGTGCGTGTGCGTGTGCGTGTGCGTGTGTATGCGTGACGACCGTTTAGTCTTATATGGACTATAGCTTAACTGGATACAGAAATACCAGTTAACTTTGAGGTGCACTGGAAACATTTGGAGGTTACTGGGTATAAACAACTCCAGTACGGTTACGTTCTTTACTGTTCTTAAACGAATGCATGTGTCTCTTGGTTGTGTCTGTAATAGAAGACGCAGCGGCGGTGTAGATGTAGTTATATCAGTAGCAGCAGTCGCAGTAATAACAGTAGCAATCGCGAATTGTATTTTGAGTGTATTATTAGTTATGCACGAGTCCACCGCACGTTGATATGATTTTCAGTAGTTGCTTAAACGGTGTATTATTGTACTCCTGATCAGTCCTCATGTAACCTGGCGGTTTTGTTAGGGAAGTACTTTAACAAAAACAATGGTTGGATTTCAACTAAATCTTTAAGTAATTGACATGTGATGTGTTTAGTGGAACTTTGGTGAAACCCACGAGCACGGGTATTAGGCTGAGAAACCTGCATAATTAGGGCGAATCTGGAATTCGAACCCACGATCATAAGTTGCTTAAAGGACGGGATGAAAGTAAGTTCCAGGAAGTATTAATTCTGCAAGGATGTCATACAATCAAACCTTCAACATACAGACATTAAATACAAGTGCCGCTGCTACACATTAGTGGAGCTCTTCAGTTTGGGTACATGTTGTCTGTAATCACTATAATGTCCTTTCTGAAGTCGTACATCAATATCAAAATATGCATACAAGCCGCTGCAAATGAGGTTGTTTTAAGTCGCTTTGGACAATAATTTGACAGCAGCATACCAGGCATGTAATTACTTATTATTTTTTGTAGATTCAAAGTCAACACACCTCGGGAATGCACTGCAAAATTATATTCTGTAACAGGTCAAAACTGAATTAATACTATAAGGTATATCATAAAAAACACTTGGTGAAATCTGTTGGAATTCAGGACCTCTGACCCTTTGGATAATTTGGCATTTATATCAGAAAACTATCTAAAATCACAACAAATATAATTATGCGTTGGCATCTGTTAAAAAATTGATCATAAACTCACTTTTAGAACAGTAATTATTTGGGATGCGCAAACCGTGACATGAATGATGTTGGTGATCATAAACTTTAACTCCTATTTTATCCAGCCAAACATGTGAATTTTCGTATATAATATATACTTATGTGAACGTAGGGATTCTTAATGTATGGTTGATGATGAATATATTCATTTTGTTTTGTTTGTAACTTTTGGTTTCTTCGGGAGAAATATAATCTCTCTCGAACAAAAAAACCCAAATGCCTTCCCTGTATCCTCCACACACAAACACACACAGACACACTCACACACACACTCACAGACACACACACAGACACACTCACAGACACACACACAAAAACACACTCACAGACACACTCTCAGAGACACACACTCACAGACACACTTACAGACACACACACAGACACACTCAAAAACACACTCACAGACACACACACAGACATACACTCACAGACACACACACAGACATACTCACAGACACACAGACACACTCACAGACACACACACAGACACACACTCACAGACACACTCACAGACACACACAGACACACACACAGACACACTCACAGACACACTCACAGACACACTCACAGACACACACACAGACACAATCACAGACACACACACAGACACACTCACAGACACACACTCACAGACACACTCACTCACAGACACACTCACAAACACACTCACAGACACACACACAGACACACACTCACAGACACACACACAGACATACTCACAGACACACTCACAGACACACACTCACAGACACACAGTTCTAATTAACCAGAACGGTATCTGTCTCACCCAAAGTCACTCACCTCACAACGACATGCAACTGCAGTAGATTATTGTATAATGTATGCCAGCAGTCAGTCCAGGTATCATAAAACACACAGCCATGTGTATAGCGTAACCATGTAACATGTGAGCAAGTGACACGAATTCACCGAATCTAGGACATGTCGCATCACCTTTAAAGTGCTATTTCAAGACTGCAGCGGGATATTGTGATTTAGGGAAAATAAAATAAACAAACGAGTCAATCTGAGTTTTGCAATCACTTGTAATCCATGCGTCCAAGATGGGGATCATTCTGATTATTTTCGTCACTACTGTCGGTCACAGATAGAGGGTTTACTTGCACTTCTTCCAAAATCACCAATTCAACTTCTGAGAAACATTCACATTCCATCATAACTCGAAAACTATTGTCACTGTCAGAGTCGGACATATCAGCAAGTTGTGATCAGTATACGGTCGATGCTTCATCATTCTATACACAGATCAGTGAATATTTTAAACTCAGAAAAATCTCACAACAATGTACATGAAAGTACATAAACGCGAACAATAAACGCAATTGAAGAAATAGTATGTTTTGCACATTGTTTTCTAACCGAACAGTGAACTCTTATTGTGATGTAAATGGCCTTTGTCACATTTCTGTTGGTGAAAGAAAGAGGAGCATATTTTAATCATTTAATCGCTCTCATACGAAGGATGCAGATTTAGTTTTCAGAAGAGAATGAGTGTACAAATGGTCGTTGCTAATTGTAGAAAGGAGGATGTCTAAGGGTAAAAAGGTGAAGAATAAGTTTCCTTTGCCGAGAATGTGTGCAGCCGCCCATGTCCACGACCATGACGTAGGGGAACGTGTGAACGGAGGGGTGGGCTTGTTTTGCTATCATGCGTATAATTTTAGAGGTATCTTGTGAAGATCAAGCGTGTAATTTCCTCCTACAAGACCATACATGGAGCCTCTCTGTATAAAGGTTCCGCCTTCGCTGTATTTTCGTTTCAGCATTTGAAATTGATAGACAGGACAAAAACTACAAATAAACCTTATTTACCCTCTGCTTTCGATGTTTTGAATACGATATTTGCATCAACGATGTTATGATCTATCATACTCTGTAAAGTTGTATATACCGATTAAACTTGCACTTCAAATCAAATATGTAATGTTTTAGAGTATTTGTCCATAGAAACAATACAAATGTGAATGTAAAGAAAGAACTCACATCTGTGTTCTGCTATAACGAGTCAACTCTTGTGTCATGGTCCAAACATGGAGGCATTCTGTCCCAGTGTAAACACGTGGTTCTGATCATGTGATCGGATAGAGATGCAAATATCAAAGGTCAAGTAGGGACTACTTTCAGTCTTTATAAACCAACATGGCGTCGAGGGGCTCGCTAAATACTATGTTTATTCCTAATGCAGGATATTTATGATCCCCAAACACACTACCGTGATGGCCTCTATTTATTAACAAAAACACTATAGCTGCATGTGTTCTTATAATTCTTACAAGAAGTGCTACTTACAGTAATGGCAAAAATTGCAAAGTGCGCTTTTAAAAAAAATTAAAAAAATTATGAGCAAGAAACATCCTCATTGTGTTTTCCTCACGTCGTTACAAACCTGGTAAGGGTCGGTAGTCAGGTGACTTAGAGAGGTTATAGTATTTAGCAGTGTGTGCATCTCGAACTAGATTATTAGCGCTTTAAATGCTACATGACCTATTGTGCACTTTTATTTCTTTTTAACGCTGCACGTGGTGCATGATATACAGTCTCACACATTTGATTTCTTTCATGCCCAGTCATAATCAGATAAATAACTATATTTTATGTCACAAAGATGTATTGCATAAACGATTTATGTCAATATCCTAGTGCTACTGAACTATACTATGGAAAATATTAATATTCAACAATAAACATCATCGAGGGGAAAAATATCAACAATCTTACATGCACTCATCAGTATTCCATGAGTGTATTGACTATATCCAAAAAAAAGAAGTCGCATAGACGTCCAAAAGAATTTTGCATCTTAGCTGAAATGAATATTTTAGTGTAAAGGAAGTCGTCCCCAGCAATGACAATGCGAAGATGATAATAAGCACTGTAATTGCACATAAGCTTCGCATCGTGTGTACTACTGTTCTACTGTAATTGGGGGAACATGGGCAATTCGCAGTGCGGAATTACATCCCTTGGGCACGCCAGAATCCTATGATCGTGGGATCGAATCCCGGTTCGTTCTGATTATGTTTCTAGGTTTGTCAGCACACTACCCGGTTTCATCAAAGTGGTAAACGTCTCTGTGACCAGTCTCGGGCTGTCCTCCCACATCAAGCTGACACCGTGAAATAACTGGAATTCTTTTCAAAGCGGCGTTAACCCAACTCACTCACTCACTCACTCACTCTACTGTAATTCCTATACTAGTACAAAAGAAATGAGACTAAGTGAGTTGGGCGAATGTGGCGATCATGGAAGACGTTACGCTTAAGGGATACAACTCTGCACAACCAATTCTGGAAGCCGCCTGTGGTACATGAGCACGACAAAATGAAATTCGCAAGCTAATTTTATTTAGTTCAAACATAGGGTTTGAAGATAAAACATTATCCAATGATGTGGGACGAGCTATCAGTGAAGGCGTGGCTCCTGATGTAGGGAGGAGCTGGCAAGTCGTTGTCTCTCCCATACACGGAACACTTCCTCAGCGGACAAGGACTGGTCCGCCACTCGTAACGGAGGCCAACAAGATGGCGACTACCACAGCCGGATGTTGACACAGTCACAGACTTTGTGTCGTGCGTCGTGATTGGCGCACGAACCCAGACGTCATGAGCACCACACGTCGTCGTCCTTGAACTTGAGCAACAAACCTGTTGGTGAATATAATATACTGGTTCAGTTGCAAGAAATGTCTCTGGTCTTTATTGACGCCACAACAATTTAATACGAAATAAACTGCCGGGCAAAAAAGGCATACACCCATGTTTTGGTGGCTAGAAATGAAACAGACAAGAAATGGTTATCAGATGCTGATGTATTTGATGCAGGTATCACAGTTGTGTTTTGGACCTTAAGTTTGCTCTGTTTGGGCGTCTGTTGTCAGCCTTATATCGTTTTGAAACGTTTGTAATTTTTTGATCAAATTAAATTTTCAAGTTTATATTTTCATTTGCCCGGCAGTTTAGGTGAAACCGAAAGATCGAGCGCATTACTCTCTGCAACATTTTGCATGACGTGTGTACGAATTGTAAGCCTAATAAAGTGCATTTACAACATATATCAAAGTGCAAATGTGCCGTTCAAGCTCATATAATTAAAGCCATTGTTTTCTCAGATTTCGCAGTTAGGAAAGTGAAGATTGAGACAATCATTCCCAGTAGTGACAGATCAATTGTGTCCCGTTTCAGATTCTTACTGTTCAGAAACAGATATATTTATCTTGAATGATCGTCACTTGTTGATTTTTTTGTAAGCGGTTATATTTTCTCACAGTTGAAGGAAAATACTTTTGCAGTCAGTAGTCTCCATACATAATGTTACGTGTTTGAACATTATATTTAGTATCAGTGTTCAGGCACTAGTCTGGATGAAACGAAGATTCCCCATAACCATGTTTGTTTGCTTGTTGTTTAACATGGCAACATTCAAGCTATTGGTTGTGGTCTGCAAATGTTCAAGGCTGGGCCAGAAAACAACAGTGATTGATATTATGACCAATGTTCCACGCCATCGAGGTAGAATGACACCAAACCAACCAAGTCCCTGAACAACCTGTTGATTGTGTAGCCGGGACGAAAGCTAATTTACTAAGAAATATAGGAAAAAAAACTAATTATGAAAACTTACTCTTTGGTCAAAATATTTCAAATTTTGCTTCCTTTAATTTTATACATACGGCTGTACTTGATCATATTAGAAGGTCGTAATTTTCAGGTGACAGAAAATTAAGAAAAGTGCTTGTATAATAACAGTATAATTATTTGCCACCTTCACATTTACGATTTCCAGCGGGCCCAAAAGGACGTTTGTCATGTTTCGTCCTGTATTTGCAAGCTGTTGTTTCTGTAACATATATGTAGATATATAACAAATCGCTAGACGAATTGGCTCGTGCTAAAAATAGGATACTGATGTGTACACATAATAACAGACACATCAGCTGTTGTCACAGAATATATAAAAGAACAATTCACCTCAAACCCGTCGTTGTTCCGAACCTCAATAGGCATGTGTCCTCCACTAAATTCAACGGTCAAAAGTTTATGTGGGCTATTTACACCAAACGCAGTTGGGAACGGACCCTGGTAATCAAGATCCTTTTCCTTGTAGGCAACAGCTCGACCAGCTAACACCAGTCGCTTTGCCACATCGTCTTTAAAACGTGGATGAATGCTGAAATGTAACATAGCTTGTTTCACTATGAATGAATGCGTGAATATTGCTAAACGCCGGTTCATCTATACTGCAGCCATTCACTGCGAGACTATGAATGGGCGAGATGGATAGACTGAGTGGTTTAACGCCGCTTTGACCAGTATTCTAGTTATATTACGGCGTGTCAGCTCGAAGTGTGTGAGGACAGCCCGAAGTGATGCAGGTCTCAGACATTTACCACGTTGGCGAAACCTACGAGCAGGGATTGGGTGTTGACAAACCTAGAAACGTTATCGGGAATCGCTGAGACACTGTCAACCAGGTCACCGAGACTGATCACCCCATCCATTGAGTCGCCTCGCTTAAGTTGATAGGTTAACACCATCGGGATTTACGGGGGTGGTCGGGAGCACAGTGGTTAAAGCGTTCGCTAGTCATGCCGAAGACCCGGGTTCGATTCCCGACATGGGTACAATGTGTTAAGCCCATTTCTGGTGTCCCCCGCCGTGATATTGCTGGAATATTGCTAAAAGCGGCGTAAAACCATACTCACTCACTCACTCACGGGATTTACGTCATGTGTGACCTATACCATTTACCACATTTTGTTGAAAGCTGAAGACTTCTCAATCTTTAGGCTTCGAAGTGCTAGGCTGGAGTGAGGCTAGTAATGTGTGAGTGAATATTGTATTACACTGAAATAAGATATAATTCAACTACATACATCACTCCCACCTGTATAAAATTGAGTCTAGACCAGGCACACCAACGACTGATAACTGGCGCACCTACCTATGCTACAGGGGTAAAGTCATAAAGCCTGACCAAGCCGAGTTTAGTGGTGTCTGACGACAAAAATGCTGCACTGGTGGCCACCGCTGACCCGGACTCCAAACAGTCTCGGTGCTAATGGATACACGGGATAAACCTGAACTCCAAAGACCCCCAGATGAAATTTGTAATAAAAATGTACGTACGATCCATGTGGTGCTGTAAAATCTGGCAAATCAATGGCTACTGCCATGAAAGTATTTGGCATCTTTGTATTTGGTGCCCGTCCGAATTTGGCTGTCTGAGCCCAACGCAAGGCAGGAAATGACCCAATGAAGCTAGCGTTCGTGTTAGGGGCAAGCTGTGAGAAATTTAGGGCAAATAACAATTATATTGATAAAAGTTATTCGACATCAAATCAATATTGTTTAATATATTTAGATTAGGCTAAATAACACGAGTCAGTGAGTTACGATTGTAAGTCACATCGGCAATATTTCAGCCATATCGTGACTTTCAAAGGTTATACATAATAAATACATGTAATCTATAAAAACCTGCCAACAAGGCTAAATAATACGAATGTTGTCAATAAATGCACATAATGTATTGTGTTTATAGAAATGAAATAATGTTATCCTATATATAAGCTCCAATTACCCCAAAACAGTTCTTGATAAAAATGAATTAATATAATATATTTTAGATAAGCGAAATACATACGATATAATACGAATGCAACAAATGCATTATATGTATTGTGTTTGTAAAAGTCATTTTATCCTATATGTAAGTTCCTATTTCATTAAGATTTATTTTCCTTACCTGAACAAACCCAAAGGGAAAGTTGACGTCAGTCTCTCCTAAAGATCCCTGATGGAACTTGCTTCTCCAGTCTGCTATCATGGCTGGGAACTCACACGCATAGCGTTCTGCATGGGGGGCATTGTGCTCACCTTAAACAAACGTTTTCAAGAATAAGGAACGTATTCATCTGTATTAACCACATGGGGATCGAAATAGAAAACAGCGAATTTAGCTTGTTCAAACATGTTATGCCTCCAAACGTTTCGGGTAAAAAAGATCAGAATATCTCTGAATGTAGAAAGGCTTCTGTAACAAGTTGCGGTTATATTTTCCACATGGTTGTGTTTGTATGACTGTGTGTCAGTTGTGTGCTTTCACAATGGTCACCAAGAGGAGGTACATGAAGATTGGATGGATTTAACGCCCCCTTGAACAATATTTCAGCTTAATCCCAAGTGTCATCTTAAATCAGACAAGTTGACACAATGGACATCTTTAAGTCCAGAATGAAAACACACCTTTTCACTCTCCACTGCCTCATCCTGACATTGTCCAGTCTTGTTCTTTGAGTGTATACATGTAAGCAGTCTGAGGATAAGTGAGGTCATGGCGAACCACGATCAGTAGAAGTGGACGTAATCATTTATTGTGTTTACTTTACTGTAGCTCTTTGTGCATATATTATATGGCTCATCCGCGTTATAAATATGCATTATCATTAAATTTGAGAGTAAACCTGGAGTGATGTTCCTAGTTTACTGTTTGGGTTGATCCCTGCCGGTATTGTACTGACAAACCAGTCGTAATCGGATGGAATATGAGATTTGAAACAACGATTATTGAATTCAGGTATGCCTAATGGACGCAACTCTTCACAGCTGTTTGAGGCTTAGATGCCAGGTCTTACCTAATACTAGTACCTGAAGAAAGATGTTTTAATTATATAGGTCGAAACAAATGTTATCAACAAGTGGATGATTTGGCAACAGCACATTGATAATGTGTTCTGGCTACTTTATTTAAGTTCCTAATTTCCTATCTCGCCAATCTTCCTGCTAATGAAACCCTCAAAATCTAGGATTCTAGCCATAACATACCATCAGTTAATGTAATTAAACAGAAAATGTCCTCTGATTAATCTCCAGGGTGTGACTTATGTCTCAAGCTGTAGGTAAAAATAAAAATAACTATTTTTGCGTTTTCCTAACATCAGTGAATATATAGGTACCAACACAGTACCTGTATCAAGTATGAAACCACGGAGACATTAGGGGCGATAGGACGAATACAGTAAACCTACCTTGGTACCACAGGACACCATATATCGTCATGTGTGTGAAGGGATTCATCATCGAGTTCCACAGGATGCTATCAGCACTTGGCCCCCTTCATGGGAAAACATTGCACATCACCTCAGCGATCAGTAGTATAATAACATGCAACTAGTTATTAATTGTTGGAAAGTTATGAAAGTTATGGACGTATGCTGTGGGTTACATTCTGGCATAATGTTGGATGTGAAATTAGCATGAGTGGATAGTTTGGATTATTGACCTCTTTCTCTTGGATGGGCATATAGAGAGAGCATCGGGAGACGACCATGCCTCGATGGACGTCCCTCCCCAGGCAGATTCCACCATACCAAGAGGATACTTGCGGTGAGGGAAGAGGTACTGGGCGTACAGCCAACATACAGCAGAAAATGTCGAAATACTGGCTACAAATAAAACATTGTATATTTTACCTCTAGATGCACGTTAAATTTGAGTTATCACGTAGAATGATTGACAGTTGAATAATAGGGTGACAACATACTTCACCTCCGGAAATTAAAAAATGGCTGCCGTGTCCAAAACATTCATATCCGAATTTAGACTTCAATCATCCTATGCAAAGTTTCAGCTTGAGAGCTCTTGGAATTGTTGGAAACAAAAAATGCCAATGCAGGTCAAAATCGACCTTCGCCACAAATATGTTATTTCACATACCACATTCATAAATATGTCGTTTTCCCCACGTTTTTATGACGGAAAACATATTCAAATAAAAAACTATTCTATGCCAATATGACCTGTATTTGTTCGTTAAACAGAGCAACTACCCAACGCACATGATTTGCTAGGTAACTGTCAAACATGATAAGTCATCCAGTGTTATATCTTGCACATCACGCAGTTGATGTGTGAACCAATATTACCTTGAGATGTTTTATACCAATACTGATGTAAACCATGTAGGTTATCAAATGTTGAGTTTGACACCACGGGACGCGTCTTGAATAGGCGAATGTTCGGGAAGTTAGCTGCCTCGGCGATTACTTTGGAGGGGTTAGCCAGCTGCAACAAGTGATTAAAATAGAATGGATATAATTTGAAATACCACTATTTCGAAAGGGACTCGCCATGGAGAACCGTTACTGTACGTCTTACGAGTAAGAGGGTTGGTTCAGTCCACGGCCGTTTCATACCAAGACGTTAAAAGATGATACTTGTTGTCACGTCATGTTTAACCTCGTCTCAGCCACCTTATGAGTGAGTGACTGCAGCCAGATTGCAGAATTCTTTAATATTCATGATAGTTGTTCTACTTACCCAACTAATGGGGAAGCCCATGTTGCTCTGCCCGGAACAAACCCACACATCACCAAATAAGACATCATCTATTGTGACCTTTCCCAGTCTGTAAGAAGCCGTTATAGTGAATGGTCCGTGATCCGTTATTGCTGGTAGCTTTACTGTCCAAACACCGTCCAACTGGCCATTTGGGTCAGCAACAACTTTGGTTGTGACGTTCCCATGTCCACCACTGACCTCTACTGTGACGGTATCCCCGAGTTTATCAGATGTGCCCCATACCACAGCGTGTTTGGGACCTCTCTGTAGAACCATATGGTTTTGATAATAAGAAGCGAACTTGATGTAACCAATGCATTCTACAAAAAAAAGAAACCAACAAAGATCAAATCAAGAAATATCACCAAAAGCACCACTGACAAATCGTAAAATGATAGATGTAAGTGTTTACCTTCTATACTTAAACCAAGAAGAAACAGGATGCCCAGCAATTTCATTTTGAATACAACTGCTGTACTTAGACAGCCACAGAAACACACAGGTGTTACTGTCTCACGATCTCGTTTCTAGATTATGAATGTTTAATACGGTCAACCATAATGATAAGGCAGCGATGTTCACAATACAAAATCAATCTTCAGTGGAGAGCCGTGGAGAGCCGTGGAGAGCTGCGGGGAGCCGTGAAGAGCAGGGTCTGATTGTGTCTTGTGTATTGTGTTAAACATGTACTTGAAAGGAACCTCAAAATATTTTTGACGAATTTGCCCTGGTAACCTTCTTAGAGAACATACATCGGATGTAACTGCCCTTTTGAGCTTCAAATGATAAGGAAACTTTACATCGAAGCCAAGAATGCCGCAGCTTAAATCGTAATCGGGTAATGATAGATTCTTCTGTGTTTGAACAATACTTATACTAACAAGAAAGACGACCCCCGTGTTTTGTCTGATTTGATTTATCGTATCCACAAAATCAACTGGTTGTTGTTTGTCTTGGAGTTTTGACAGTGTACAAGATGCAGTTGTTACAATGCTGAATAAGCCGTAAAACCCATTCAAACTTCCTCAATGTTATGTCAGGTTATTGTGACATACAAAAAGAGTAGAGAGTAGGTAAAAAGATGCCCTTGCCATGGATGGAATGATAGGAAGAACAATGTCGGAAGATACGGTAACCGACAACAGTTCATATGCAGCGGGCGCATGCCATATACAATAAGTAGCGAGTGTTGACACCTGGAGCATTGATGCAGGCTTGACACCCACGCTTCGAAGCTACCAAACGTTGGAGAAAGGTCTGGGAAATGGCATTCCAAATATGAGAACGGATAAACCGGAGTTCCAGCATCGTTGTTGGAGCATTTGGAAGACATTGTACCATATTCGACTGGTGACAGATGATGGGATATGGCAGGCCAGGGTAACACAGATACTGTTCCAGCAACATGTGGCCTGGCCTTGTCGTGCTGCACTTTCACCCCAGGGCTGTTACGTGAGTTTACAAAATCTCATCCCGGTATCTCGCAACATTCAAACTTCCATCAAGCACAAAAAAATGAGTCCTTCAGATAGTCGTTATTCCTTCCCATAATTATAACAACGCCAGCGATTGCCGTCAAGAACACGTGGCGTGACGTAACGTTCACCAGGATGCATGAAGACACGTGTCCTGCTATCGGATCGGTGAAGATGGAAATGTGACTCGACACTGAAGAGGAACCTTTTCATGCAACCGCAAGTGTTGTCTGCACCAGTGGTCGCATCGTAGTTGATGCTCTGAGGTTGGTCGCACAGATACTGTAGATGTGTAGACGTTGTCGGCCTGTCTTCGCAGATACTCTTTTGCCTGTGATAGTAGGGGCTATGAAAGTTGCTGTCTGTGTTCGAATCAATATATAATGGCGATTGGTTGTCACAGATGGACGAAGACCGCCAACGTGGTCTAGTGGTAGAGCCCCGGCCGCGTCATACCAAACGACGTTAAAAGATGGTACGTGTTGTTACCCCATCTGGCGCTCGGCATTAAAGGGCTAAAACAAGGACTGGTCGGCCCGGAGTCAGTATACTGTGTCTAATCTTGGACGCGACGTTAAACCCCATTTCACCTCACCTTACCTCACAGATGGACGACCACTACGGGAACGGTCTCTGGCGTAGTGTATAACATCGCAATTATGCGTGCGTCACGCAGCGATGTACCGGATTCAAGTATGCCTATGACTCGCCATCTAGCGTCGTTGCATGATGAAATCTCATCAAAACGATCAACAGCTGTGTTTTGTCTACACTCTGCTGTTTGGAAGCTGGCAAATATATGGGATTGGATATCTAGCCTTTTATGGAGAACATTTGAAGCAGTTTATCCTCAATACTCGACATTTCTTGCACAAAATACATACCAGCGACAATTGGTTGGTTATGTTTCTCTCATGCTCCCTGTGCTGGTTCAAATATAAATATTCATATAAGGTTTGCAAGTGATAAACCTTTTTACACGTCACAATAACGCTTGCCTTTGAGTATATTGCAGTATTAAGCTACATACAAGTATGCAATAGAGGGACTGTCTGGAGGAGAGATGGTCGGTAGTGCGATCCTCTGGAAGCATCATACCAGAGGTACTACTTGTTACCATGCCTGGCGCCTGGATTTAAAGGGATAAACCAGTCATGTATGCATGCACGTCGCTATATAAGTGCAATAATCTTGAACGCGAGGGTATTACCAATTTCACCTCACCTCAGGTACACTGTAATGTATTTACCACATAAGTGCATAAATGATGATGTTTTTGTAATAACATTGACATGAGCCATTCTTTAAGTTTGAAAAAAATGATTTAGTTGTTATGACATAAGAATGCATTGTGTGCAAAATGTGAGCATTTAGTTAAGCATAAACGGAGTCGGCGTAAATGTCTATAAACACGTGCATGTACCCGAAGTTGGTGTAATTATTTCAAGATGGTAAGGCTATGTATTAAGGCAAGGATATAATGGCAATACACGCCAAACTGTTGACAAAATGAATTTAATGCATTTTGTTTATACCCCGGTGGTCGATATCTGATGCTCTGGTCTTTACTGAATTGCCATGATGTTATTTTACAATGACGGTGGTTTATGTACCCAACGAGCTTACATTTAATAAATTAGAAATACCTAACATTATTCTAAAGATTAATATTAATTACACAACATAGACAGAAACATATTTGAAACATTATTTATCTTCCCGTGGGCTACAAATACAGTTGTTTCAGTTAGGCCGAGTATACCAAGGCCACCCATTGATGTAAAGAGGGGCAGGTAACCCCGATGCTCTACTGTAGATGGCGCACTGCTGGTATGCTTCACAGGGACTTCCGGACCAGTCATAGGAGATACCAACTACCCAGTCGCTCCCACAGCCAGCGTACGATATGGTCACAGATGTCTCGTCATGGAACAATATAGGTGCTGGAATATGCTTGTCTGTGTCGTAGCATTTTTCGGAACTTGAATTTGAACAGCAGAACTGAAAGCATGTGCGAGATGATGCCATTGCATGCATATTAAACATGTAATTTAGTCCTTACTATAATTGCATGGCGATAGTTGACGTGTAAATTAGTACCATGAACTGATGTCATTCCATCATTTTGAAGTCACAATGAAAGGCCATCTCTTCTGGCTCTGAAACCTAACATGACTAGTTCTTTAGCATTATTGGCATAGTTATGTCCCTTCAAATGATAATATCAAATATAACAAAACAGAACCCCTTGCCATGCGGTCTACACAGTGAGTGAGTGAGTGAGTCGCAACGGCAATATTGCAGCCATATAGCGATTATACAATTGTAATAGAAATATACCAATTTGATATAAAAGTGGTATTTGAATAATTATATAAACAACTTAAGGTATTCTTGTTTCCTGCTGCGAAACCCATTTCCAAGCGATCTTAATGTATGTAGTAACTATCTAAACTGTCGGGGAAAAGAAAGTATGCACCTGAAAATTCGATTTGACCAAAAATTAACAAACGGTATCAAAACATTGCCGTGCTCAAAATAGTCGCCAAAAACAATGAGAACTTAAGGATCAAAACACATCTTGATAGCGGCATACGTCAGCATCTAATAACCATTTGTTGTTGTTTCATGTTGAGCCATCATCAAACATGGGTGTGTACCTTTCTGTGGCCCGCGGTATATAATCGGATGTGGTTTCTTACCTCAAAACCAAACCTGGATCGCACAACAATGACCTGGTCATACTGTATCCGCATCAACTTGGTTACGTTCTTGACAAAAGTTATATTATTTGGATATGGGCCCTGGAATTCAATGTCCTTGTCACCGTAGGCGATGTTTAGCGCCCCCAACATCAATCTTGCTGAAACGATTTGCTTGCACCGTGGATGATCTCTGAAAATATTGCGTTTTAAAAATTATTGAATATAGTCTCCATACACCAAAAACGTATGGGAATTCATATTTGTTCACTTTACATAATCAGAACCAAAGGCCATTCACGCATATTGTGCTTGGAAACAGGAGAAATTGATTCCTTTACATTCAATAATGTACTAACTCCCAACACCATTACATCTACTGTAGACTAGGGAAACACAAAACGTGAACGAAAACACGTGTACATAATGTCTATTTTCCTTTTATTAAAACTTAAGGAGAATACGCTATGGTGACAGCTGAGGTGACAGCATGAACAGTCACCCGATACGCATTCAGTTACGGCACACATTTGCGGCCTGGTTAGCCTTGGGGTCACGTAATCTGGCGTCTGTATGCATCACCAGCTACAGCCACCCAAGGCCGTAACTGTGGGTCTCCACGACGTTATAGATCCAAACTAGACCCACCGCCCCATGAAAGACACTCCAGAGCCAACCATTTGTCAACTTTTGCCTTTCTCCCATTGATTTGTATGTTATCTACGTGTAGTAGCTGAAACGCGCTGATGAATATGTGCTGATACTGTTAAATACTGCTGCCTTAATGAAGAGCAGGGTGGCTGTAACTGGTAACATGGATGCTAGATCACTTCATCCCAATGCTAACTTGGCCGCAACTCAATGTCCTGCAGTATGTTTAACTCTTACTGTCCATATGGGGAATGAGGATCAATCAGGTCAGCAGTTATAGCCATAAATGCGTCAGTCTGTCTACCGTTTGGGACAACGCCATAGTCGAAACTCTGACTCCATCTGAAACTACCTGCCTCCGAGGCGTACGCAGGTGCTGTTATTGGTCCCATCTAAAATTATGCACAGAATCAGCTTTCGTCATCTACAGACGTACGGAGTATATAAAAGGTGCAATGTTAAGATTTTAAAGTTACAATTTTAGAGTTTAATTTCATGTGTTGAGAAGGCCATTCTCAAAGCAAGTTTTCAAATAAGCTGGCATCTAATCTAGCGAAATAACACAGTGAAACAAATTGTCAGATGCCAAGGCGTACATGTACTTGCAAAGTGAGATATGTTTATGTACTAAGTGATGCCTTAAGCGAGCCTAAAAGAGTTAAATAGTAAACATGAACGTCGTTTAAAATGTGCCAAAACACACAGGTCATACGATACAAGCTGAAATCTAATATTTCACTTTATATCTCCATACTTTAAGTATGATATTATGACTTTATATCATTCCACAATAATGGGAGTTACAACTGATGAGATTCATCTCCAGGTAGCAACCAACAAACTAATCACACCTACACTTATGGGAAGGATGCGCCAAAGCAAGCCTATATAACTTACCAATCTCTCCCTCTAAAACAAGTTTTATCTTTTTGCATTGATGCGTTTTTATTAAATGTTTATAGTGAAATGCGAGTGGTCGATTGGAATGTGTCACAGTTACCTGGACGATACCAAACGGCATGCTGCTGCTTGTTTCGTTGAGGGTCTTGGATCTATAGAGTGTTCTCATGTTTGACATCATGACTATGAAATCATAGCCATAGTTGAAATCTGACTTCAGATTGCCGGATCCTGAAATATGGAATATAAAATAAACATGGAAATACGTTTTTGAATGAGTGAGGTCTTTAGCTGTTATTTGTCACATTAAGATACATAAGTCGTTTTACAAAAAATATCGGGAAACGTTAAAGAATGTATCCGCAGTTTTCAATTTTAGAGCTATCATAAACACATATTTATCCCATTTCTAACGTTGAAATTCACTTTATACTGACTGGAGCTATTCACCTATTTGTTTTTCTAAAACTTCCAATTTGAAATACACGCAGAGACGAGAAATATGTTACAGGAATAGATTTTTGTTCATATTTCAGACTATTTGCTATGTTGTCAGAGTAACGTGACAAGGAAATACACGAGTCATCAGAAGATGACAAATACCCCTAATTCGAAAGAACAAATCCTCTGACTGTTACTTTAAGTCCTAGTTGATGTGAGAATTTCAATATAATATGTGTGGCCTTATACAAGAGTAGCTATTGAGCTATCAAAACAAAACCATGGAACTGGGAACTTTGTATTTCTATGTCAGGTACACACCACTATGAACAGAGTTAAAATCAAACTTGTTGCCATGGAAACAGAAAATGTATAGCTTCGAAATATCCCAAGATTGCAAAAGGCACCAAGACAACCTGGTCTTTGTGTATGCACAGTTTCAAGAAATAGTACCTATCAGTTTCAGAGATTTGGTCCGGGCAAACCGTGAGTGAGTTAGAATTGAAAGTCACATCGGCAGTATTTCAGCCAAACAGTGCATATCAAAAGTTATACATGATAAATACCCTTAGACTACAGAAACAAAATGTCAAAAAGAATAGGAAACTATCACAGTTCTATATTTATAACCAGAATATAACCCTAAAAAATATAACACTACATTACAATACATTATAAAATAAGTTACAGATTTCCAACAACCAAAGTTAGGCCATCACACTTGACCATAACTTTGGAAATAAAAAAATATGAATTAGTATATATTGAAAACGTCCACATACTGTTGGTTGGTTGGTTTGTTGTTTAACGCCGCACTCAGCATTGTTCCAGCTATATGACGGCGGTCTATAAATAATCGAGCCTGGACCAGACAATCCAGTGATTAATATCATGAGCATCGATCCACGCAATTGGGATCGATGACATGTATCAACCAAGTCAGCGAGCCTGACCACCCGATCCCGTTAGTCGCCTTTTACGACAAGCATAGTCGCCTTTTACGGCAAGTATGGGTTGCTGAAAACCTATTCTACTCCGGAATCTTCACGGGTCCGTCCACATACTGACGTAGTCAGCGCTTGTTATTGAAAATCAATACAGTCAAGCAGGACATGCTTGACCGTGATTCTTTCATATCAAGGGATAACAAAATGGAGGATCCTCATCTTTCAATAAATACTCTTTCACTAAATACTGAGGATGACAAACAGGACAACAATGGACAGGTGTCAAAATGAGAAAATTACACGGCAAATGAAAAAGGTCAAGGTCATGAGAACGTAGTCGCATAAACTCGTGCACATTGAGTAGGACGCCGAGCACTGAAAAGCACAATACAAATCGCCTGTTATTATAATTACTGCCGGGAACCTCCTTCCCATGGAGTACGAATTAAGTGATCGCGATTATTAGCCCACATCGCCTGCAGTGCATAATCCAACTGTTGCAATGGTTCCTGATGAAATTCACGTGCGCGGCGATCTAACTTGTCCCTTTGGTGTTCTATGGGGTTCACCTCTTTCGATTTTAGAAGGCCATATATTACTGCTTGCTACCCCTACACAAAGATAGCAGGACACCACATCGCCGGTCATGTCAGGACGACCTTTTATTCGATAAATCAGAGCGTTGGAGGACATTTCCAAATTTGACCCATCGGTGACAAAAATGATGTCCGATGTAGTTCCCTATTTTGACTTTTTGACATGTTTTTCAGGTGAACATTGAATTGCCTTTGCATGTGTTTGTGACGGGTACCACCGGTTGGGCAGTATACGCTCACCTTTTCGCGAACACCTGGTATCATGACTATCTGATAGTGATTCATAAACGCATGATCATGATATAGTCGGAATCGTACAATCGACTCGGCTTTGTGCGAGTGAAAGTGAAAGTGAAAGTCCGAATTTATTTTCCAATCATGCAACGTCTAAAATGTTAACACGGGGCATTCCGAATGACAGTTGCGGGCTGTACGGCTAATTCTCTCGCTTCAATGGGATAGACAATTGAAACGGATGAGTACTTCCATAGCCCGTGGCCAAGTACTGCAATCTGGGTCATCTATCGGACATTCCTGAATTTTCGTTTGTTCACTTTTCAAACATTGAATCAAGAATTTTGTCAAAATAATTTTGAAATGGAAGTTGCAATTTCGAAACTGGTGGTGTTAAGCTCGAGAAAGTTGCTTTCTGATTGTCCAGAGTCGATTTCCTGTTAGTCATTTCATTGGTCGGTCAAAGTTCGCGAAAGGTCATTCTGACGTTACCTGTAATGGGATGTCCTCAGATCTTTGTGTTTCGGTAGAGAGAACTAAGATCTGACATTAAAAAAGATTGGTTCTACACGTATGGAAAAACACCGCCTTCATCATTATGTTGCCACCACCAAACCTCCCGTTTGTAGGTATCGACAAAACATGTATAACCAAGTCAATACAGCATACAGCTGTAGAATATCATCACAAAAGCGCTGGGCCGTGCACAAAGTTTGTTCCATCAAAGTGGCAGGTTGCTGTCACCAATATAGCCGAGTGCGATTGTCAAATATTGTTGTAATATTGTATATCAGCTTATGTATATTATCACATTGTTCCAAGTAAATTACGCCCTGATATAACTGGAATAATGTTAAAAGTGGCGTTAAACCCAACTCACTCACTCACTCAAGTAAAGTACCGTTCACTATCAAAGCATATTTCCAACCAAAGACAATAAACTATATGCAAACATTTATTATTACTTGTTTGTTTGGTTTCCTACTTGCTAGGGTTACGACCGGGTACGAAAACTGAACTCGAGTACCCGACAATACCCGAACCGGACTCGAGTACCCGTAGTTCAATGTTGTCCCACTTGTTTGTAATGCTTTTGCGAATAAAAGGTCATCAAACATCTATTGATCTATTCTATTTTTATTAAATGCCTGCATGGCTTACCTAAAACATTTGAACGTTTGTCCGCTTTGTCGTCCATTTTGAAGTGACTTACGAGTTACGAAAGGCGATTAGAGTTATCTCCCCTGAACGGGTACTCGAGTCCTGAAAATTGGACTCGAGTCCTAAGCTACCTGACCCGTTATCGGGTACTCGAGTACCCGTCGCAACCCTACTACTTGCACTCCCCACATAACCCATTTGTTTGCAGTTTTTCCTTCTGCCCATGATCTGACCACGTCGACATCACTGACAGAACTACTCACATCTCAAACTTTGCTATTAGAAATAAAGCAATGTGATATCAAAGTTGTAAAAGTGACACGGGGATGAAAAATGGCAATGGTGACAGTTTTACAAGAACTACATTGACTGCATACGTTTAACACACTGATACATGCACAACCGTTATTCCAATATATCGACGATGTCTTTTGTCGAATCCAGATATCGTCAACAATTTTATGACATCCTGACAATTTGTATCATAGACATAGGTATTTCCGTTTAATGACTATTACTAATTCCAATGCACATGGCATAAGTCATGAATCAGAACACAATATTAGTCTTTTAAATGTTTATCTGTTTGATACTTTCTAACAATTCTCTGTACACAAATCTTATTTTGTCATTATCCCTTTGATAAAGTTTAGTCTTGCTGTGATATATATGCATACATTATAAAATACCATTCCTTGTCGTCCGTGTGATAATGTTCAATTTTAAATTTTCTACATATTCTTTCTCGTGGTTTTATTGGTAAGTGTCCTATTTTCTTAATATGTAATTTTTTTAACATCATATAGTTTCTTTTTCACATTTTAGTGCTAATCATCTGTGCAATATGAATTTCCCTTGGGATATTAAAGTCTTATCTTATCTTATACCTTGATACCATATGATGCCAAATGTAACCATGTGCGACAGCGGGTAGATCAGGCCATTCCAGGATCCGGGGTCTATGGGTGGAATACTGCTGAAAAGGTCAGGACAAAATATCCTTTATTGTAAAATAACATTTTAAATGAGATAAATTTAATTTAAAATAAAGAAAGATGTGACAAGACTATATTTTAGTTACATGAAGAAACATGTTTGCACATTAATCTTTTCAATCTTGAAAATCTTGTCAATCTGTATTATATATGTTACAAAATTACAAACCGTGGAAAGTGTATCAACTTTTCATTATTAACTTTCCTCTCTGGCGAAGAGTGTGTTGCTTCAGGAAATGTCACTTGGATCAATCCAATTGGGTGTTTTGTGTGTGAGTAAAGATATTCGCCAAAGAGCCAACATACTGCCGAAAAGTTCCCCAAGGACGCTAGAATTAGAACATATAAAAAGGATCGTTGACAATAAATGCACATTCGGCCATAAGACAAATTCCTCTCTCTGGGAAAACTCAAGCAAAAACTCGATTTAGCGTTACTTAGATTATGGAGAAACAGCTGAAATTTAATAATTATTTTCATTCCTTTCGTCGAGACAACATGTCTCAAGTGACACCGCCTCATGCATGTCTCTTACTGTAGTTTGATGATAGATGATAAAGCAAGAGCATAACTGCATATCCAGTAAGTCTCTCATGACAAAGCATTAGTTGGTGGGTCACCGTTCTAAGTCGGATTTCCCACGTGGTCCCCATACATGCGAAGACCAAGAACATGATTACGATATTATATTATACATCAGTTTCCTTTCTGGATTATGGTCCTATCTTCATGTAACGAAACTTTTCCTTATACAACAAACATTAAACAAATGGTACCATTTGAAGGGGTTGTCCAGTTGATGTCGATGCCTTTCAGATCATCCAGCGCAGTTGCAGACTGGTAATCTTTAGGTTTTAGTACCCTGAGATGCTTGTATTCCATTGCCTTCTTGATCTCATTTGTACTGTTGGTTATCTAATGATTACAACAGAGAAAACGAATGTTAGTTCTGTCTTGTTGTATGAATGGTGTACGTAGAATAAGTCATATGCTCATAGTTTTGCACATTGCATACTTCTATCCAAATAATGCAATACCTTTGTCAATAATACCCTTATATCTGAGCTGGAACTAAATCTGAATAATTATGAAGTATCTGTTTCATATCTCCAATGCCTGAAGTAAACAGTTGCATCCATTTATATCTTTTGCTTTTATTCGATACAAAATATTCTTTCAGAAATTCTATATACACATGAAAGATATAAAATACTTTTTTCTGTTCCCAAATTCGGATTATTTTCCGGAGGTCGTTTGTTCAGTTGATTTAAGCTATACCAACCTGGGACATGGGGAAGGCCATGTCCGTCTGTCCGGGACACATCCAAACGTCTCCGAATAATACATCATGTATCGATACATTTCCTTCTTGGGAAGATGCAGTAATGATGAAAGGTCCTGTGTCAGAAACTGCTGGGAGCTTAACCTGCCAAACGCCACCCGTTCCATTCGTATTTTTGATGATTCGTGTGTGAACAGATCCTGTCTTTGAGATTTCAACAGTAACTTGATCTCCAATCTGGCGTCCATATCCCCATATCAACGCTTTCTGTGGCGCCCTCTGAAGGACCATATGGTCCTGGTAATAGGATGCATATTCCAGGCCATTTATCTCTGTAGCATAATATGAACACATTCAACGACAAAGCCAGAGAATAACCAGTCTCGATTATCCCACGCAATATTCCACTGGTTGTAAAAGGCAAAATAGTGGTGAAAATTATATGAATGGATCATTGACACAATCAGTGATGACACCGGATCTTCACGGAACGGGTGTCCTGTCCTACCGGTAGCATCTGCCACTAGCATAACTTGCATAAAAAGATATGTGTTTGTTGAAATCAATCAACGTTAGAAGGGTTAAACTAATTTGCGATTTGCTAAATATTTTACGGTGGAATAGATATCCTTTCAACATTCAACAACTAAATGAGATGCGCGAATCAATATGAAATCAAGGCAAACCGTAACAGTGTTCACGAAATAGAAATCCTTCTCCTTCACCAAGAGCGCACAGATCATACTCGTTGCAAGTTGATGTGCTCCTCAGGCCAAATAATTACAATATATGTGATCGATATAAATGAGTGACAGTTTCAAAGATGTTTCATAGTGTAAGCGATAGTGAAACACGTTTATATAGAAAATGAAGATGAGTATTACATGTTATTGCAACAGTGCTGAACATCTGGCGTCATTACATAAGATTGTCACGACTGTTTTGCTACGAACAAACAATGCCATGTAGATTTTTGTATTTTGCTGGGGTTGAGTCCGTTCCGGGATTCGATCTCACACTGCCAGAGTCACCTAATCGCCAGCACACAAAGTCATCGATCTATCCCACTCAGCCACCGCGGCTTCCACAATAAATGACAGTCTGACAACTGGTAGTCTAGATCACGTACATGTACTTTGTGACTTTTTGTTTGTGTTATTCTTGAATCTGTTTCGGTGGATACTCGTGACAGATTACTCTCCGACCTTTATAACTTTACATAACACCGTATGTATTAGGAGGTGTGTTGGGGAGTAGAATAAGCATCATGTGCCTCTTGCTTGCTGCGCCGACTAATGAGGATAGGAGAAACCACTGGTTTCGAATTCCCTGTCCAAACTCAAATATCTGCAGGCCGCCGTTATAAAGCTGAATTATTATCGGCTTTGGCGTAAACAAAAACATTCACTGATTTTCAGTTTCCGTGTATAAGTATATATCTTTAGTCGTGAGTAAGACATTAAGATGTGCCTTTATCATATCGTTCACAACACTTTAAAACACCCAACATTCTTGATTGTAAAAAGAACCAGTAACTCAACATCAAACAGGATGAAGCTCTGTGGCAGCGCAACTGATTTCGAATTAATATGGGCGGAATATTTGCCTTTAGTAATTGATGATTGCCCTTTTTCTAAAACAGATTATGAGAATGATAAGAATGTGCTGAAACTAGTGATACAACACAAAGACAGTTGGTAAACACTTGCAGTTTCGTTTTCTATTTGCACGTTATGATTCGGCACTTCATGACATGAGGAACAAGCAACTGAATTGATTTGGACAAGTTTTTTAAATTGTTAAATCTTTGCTGACAAGTGACAAGTGTCTATGCAGACATAACTGTACAATACTGTTTCTAGAATACCATCTGATGGATGTGATCAATATAAATGCACATTGTGTGTTTCGTACGGAGGTAGTGTCTGTAAATACAGTGCCGATATGAATAATTTATACAGCAAAATTACATTAATCCGGACATTACCTTCCCTGAATATGTACTGAACATGTCTGGATAATCAAATGTCTAGTTTAACAATATGTCTCGTATCAATATGTGTTATCAATATGTGTTACGTTAAATGCTTACGAAGCCGTCATAAAATCAACAAGGAGGAAGAGTATTTATATTTACCTGGTAGAAGTATTAGCAATAACAACGTCGTCCATTTCACCTCGCTGTGCAATCTGGTTTTATCTTCCATCTTGTAAGCTTGTGGGAACACGACACATGTCTTGTCATAAGCGGTGTTACGAGCTATCTACACAACAGGTGGATGTATTTGTCATGACTTAAATAAACACTGGTGTCTCTCTTCATAACCTACTTAGGTCCTATTTTATGTAGGTAAATATTAAAGCTTGACTAATATGAATCATATTACGATTGAATAATCCCGCCTTATTATCATTGTACATTTCACCACATCATATTATTAATATAAAAGGTAAAACTACATGAGAAAGAGACTACTAACCGAAGTAGTGTTTTTTTTAAGTTAATGAAATATCCCCGACGTCACCCTAATAATATCTTTTGATCTCACAATTATTTTATTCGTGTATAAAAGTTCACATGTCAAATTATTTTTTATTGAATAAAGCACTCTTATGTTTACTTCGAGTTTTGTAGTTTTGATCCCGTGGGTTTACCTTAAATACTTAATACACCGAGGAATAATAAACATACCGAACTTTGAAAACGTCTCGATTGAACCTAAAGGGAATGTGTAATAACGGTTCAACAGTTACTTCCAGCTTCTCTCTGGAGGAACGTTCACGTCAGTGTCAACACTGAAGGATTTTTATTTCATAAAGGTCATTAAGGAAAGCGTAAGAGAAGTATATTTCTCGCAGCTAAATAACACCAAATAGATGCTGAAACATCGCAAATAATATACTTGTATTCCACATGGTCTACTTTACAGTAAACGAAGAGAAAATAGTAGCATTGCGGGGATATCAAGAGTTCCTATTACTTATAGATGCTTGGCCCTTGGGCAGTATCATATTGCGGAAACAAAGCTTATTTGTGTTGAGATCTCGAGAGCAACATGTCCATTTATAGTCTGACATTTAAGAAATTGGAAAATGTCGATCGAATGTAAGCCCAAGGGATGTAAACAAAACTATCTTGTACGCACCAAAGGCAATTAATAGTTAATTTTACAAAGTTCCCAACCGAGCCCCCTCATCAGTACATTTCCAAAGTTTATAGCGTTAACTGTAGAAATGTTGGCAATTTCTGTATTTAAACTCCTCTATGTAAATCTGTTTGTGAGAAATTCCAATTATACAGAAATAAGGGATGTTGATCTGCTTCACTGTGCAGATCACTGCTCAAGAAGAGAAAACTGTACCTCAATATTCTATCTTAAACTGACGAAGCGGTGTTCAATTCTTGATAGAGTAATTCAAGACAAAGTTTCCCTGAAGTCTTCGCTTGGTTATAAGCAATTCGTGAAGCAAATGGTGGCAAGCGACGATTATGGTATGTTGTACGTTTATATCCAATATGCATATGGAAATACGTTTTAATACCCAGGCTGTATCGGCAGATATGAATTTTGGACATATCATATCATATCAATACGTTTAAATTCATTGAAGAAATATTTTAATGAACTATATATTTCACAACACGCCAATTTCCTCTCATAAGCGCACGGACGCTTATCTTGTCAGACAGCTCCATGACCCGGCGGTTAGTTGATACTCGGCAGTAAATAATGTCCTGGCGTAAGTAATATGCTGTATGTTCATAAACTTTCGTGATTCACGGAGATAAATGCAATAGATTAAAAACATAATCGGCGCTTATTGGAGCCGCGCTAATGTAAGGCCTGGTGCTTATTTTGACAAACAACCTATTTTAGAGACTGCGCTAATTAGGGACTTGACTTAATTAGGGGTTTAAAATATAGGTCGTTTCAGAACTGGGCTCATATTAAAGCCGACGCGATAAAAAGGACCCGGCATTAATTAAGGAAATATCGAAAGTTTCATTAACGTTGTTTAGCCGTTGTTATGTTTTTCCACGTTTTTACATCAGACATCGAATCAAACGTCTCCTCTATCCCAGTCTTGCCAGCTAAGAGTCGGGTGGTCAGATTCGGTGTCCTCGTGCCCCAATAACGTGGATCATTTCTCATGCCTTAGTTCAGACTCGACATGCTAACGTGACATGTCTTGATGAAATTGATGAAATACCGCACTAAATATAGGGACGTTGGTCAACTGTTACAGAAACAATGAAGACTGAGTTGACTGCGACTCAGCACTCAACTCCGTTATTCCTCGAATGCGACGTTTCAGTACATTCCGTCATTGAAAGAAAAAAGAAGTTGAAATTCACACGTCAGATCTTCCTTCAATGACACTACTCATTCCAAAATGCCATTGAAAGATATCATTTCTATATCACTTGTTCTCTTTCCCAGAAGCCGTGTCATCGTACCCAAAAGACTTGGTTCGCTGTAAGTATTATTAACATTATCCCTAAATAACTCCACAAAAATGAGGACGGTTATAAAGTACAAAATGGGACACAGCCATGATGTCAAATTGTCATTCCTACAGCTTCAAAGGGGCACAAATTTAACCAACGACCAACCACGACCGTGGGACTTTTCCTAGTGTCGCATTGTCGCCTTTTGATAACAATTTTGGATTTCACCAATGCTTGACAATGCGATAACTGGACACATTTTAAGGTTAAAGTATGTGTCGTGTTGTCGTATTTGTCGCCCAATCCAAACTGTATTTACACGAGGCGTTAAAATGTACGTTAAGACGACATATTGTGCATGTCTCATAGACGCCCAGTTCCATTATTGATGCGCGTTTGTAGGAACTTAATTAGACTAATGCGCAAAAAATGTCGTTCTTTTTCAGTTCTAGAAAAAAGTACATAAGTAATACGGGTTGTGTCAAAATGAAACAAATCGTTTCTTGAAAAGGTATTGTTTTTATCTATACAGTCGGTGTCGTTTTCATAAAACAGCAAGAAGAAACTAATTTAACGTCAATGTATTGAGTCTGGTTCCGGCATCCCAAGGACGTGAAGGCAGCACTAGTCACGAGAAAAAGGACGAAGGCCAACGCTACCATTTATTTGGAAGATTTGGAGTACTATTGGGACTACAAACAGTGACAACAAGGCTATGCTCCGTGACGGTGTTAAAAATCCAACGAGGGCTTCAACATTTGCTAATGGATGGGTCTACAAAACAGAAAACACTCACAGTATCGACTGGAAAGGATAGTTCTTAATATTGCTTTCAAACGTTTAGCCAAACTAGAAACAGTGTGCACCAAATCAGAATAAGACCGCATGTTCCAGGGCCTGAGTTTGAGTTGATGCAGACAAAATTCCTAAATGTCCCACAATATCTCAAAATACTTTAAACCATTAACAGTTTCATGTTCCATTCGAACAATAGTTCACCCAAGTTGTTCAATTACAGGTACGTGTTGCAGAACGTGGACTTGGCATGTTATAATATAAATTCCACTACTCGTGGCTGCCATGACTCATAATAATAATACCAGTCTGTTGGTCATATAATCACAGGTGAATATTTATTATTGTTGACAATAACAACATTCGCCAGTTATTCAAATATAGACCAACATATAGCATGCAGCCTCCTACCAATTGGGATCAAAACTTAAAAAGCATTAATGATGTTGTCGAAGCGTGTGACCAAAATAGACAAAAGCAAAGGTGAACCTTTTGAAAGCCTTGTTCCCTCTGAAAAATCCTAAAATAAAACCGACAAAGGAGAAACCACTTGTGTTGCATGTGCTTCATTGTTTGGCAGGACCTAAGCCACAGAAACCCCTAATAGTCAAACACAGTCAACCATCCAAGGCCCCTCCGCGACCCCTGTGCGACGATCTGAGACTAGTGGATTTGTGCAATGCTGATTCTATGAATCGGCTGGTCATCTCATGACCTGGCCATACACGATTTCACACAGCCATTTTGTATTTAAAAATAAATTCATTCTAAACGTCCATTGGGCAACCTGTTTGCCGTGGGTTGCGTCCCTGTTTGGGCAGAGAAAAGGAGTCATGTGGTTGAGGGAGCCGGAGCTGGCAATAGTGTTCCTTAGTCCAACACACCACTTCGACCCTAACTTTGCCAAGACGGGTGGTAGAATCTGCCCGATTATACCAATCAGCTGGTCATGTAATGACCAGGTCATTAAACGATTTCGCACAAACACGTGACTTTTAAAAATAAATTCATTGTAAACGTCCATTTATATATATATATATATATATATATGTATCAATCGAACAACTTTCTCAGAGCGCTATGCCCAGAAGGCGGTGGCTCATGGGACAATCTGATGCTGCTGACCTCTTAATTCTGTACGTCTCTAATTGATTGTCATGGTCTGACGTTTTACTCGGTAGATTGCTAAAGCTTTTAGTGTCAAAATTGCTGGCATATGACATCCATTTATCCTCGGTCTTTGCAGCCCAGATTTTCGCGGTAGCACAAGAGTGTCCTTGTTGACACTCGATGGTGTGTGGGGAAAATGGGTGCTGAATCATTTACCTTTCCACATGGCTTCCAAACACTCTGGTTTAAAAAATAAGACACACTGATTTTAACAAATTCTCGTCTGACGAGAATAAGCCCATGCGATCTGACTACTGGCCAGAGTTTGTTTGTTTGTTGTTTAATGCCCCACTCAGCAATATTCCAGCTATATGACGGCGGCCTGCAATAATCGAGTCTGGACCAGACAATCCAGTCATTGATATCATGAGCATCGTTCCACGCAATTGGGATAGGATGACATGCATCAACCAAGTCATTGAGCCTTATCACATGATACCGTTAGAGGCCTCTTACGGCAAGCATGGGTTGCTGAAGCCCTATTCTAAACCGGATAGAACCCATGAAACTGAATCCATTTGCAATCTCCAAAGGTGTCACTTGTATCTACGGTGAGGTTTCAAATGTCACACAGCTCCGATCTGGCTCTCTCCCGTAGAATGTGCACAGAGACTGCAATCTGGTCAAACTTTTAACAGTTTATATCAATATCAAGGTTGCTGCCTCAGTGCAAAATACTCTGAAAACGGGACAGAGCCAGCTGCCTGTCTGGCATGACCGAAGTTGAACTTGCCAAGGAACCTAAAGAACAGTCTGTCACAGCTGTCAAACGATTTGCTGAAAGGAAGGATGGTGTGATTGAACCGACCAACAGCTACCTCTTCACATTTGCGCGAACTTCTATCCCTCGATGTATCAAAGCTTGTTATTGTAGCATTGGAGTGGAAGTGTTCATCCCCAATCCACTTGCCAAGCGTTTGGACATGGATTCATGTCCTGATATGAGTCACAGATCCTAAAAATCAAGCATGAACAAAATATAGGCTTCCAAGAAGCTAAGAAGAGGATTGCCAGTCTGATTACAAGCACTTCATCAACTATTTCCTATAGTGCTGCAGTCTCTCGTCCTGCTGTTATCACTGCTTCTGTTGTCTGCCAGATCTAGACTGATCTGACATGGGTCGAGTCTGTTCAACATCTTCCTACCGCTTCACTACAAAACTGTAGTCACAAACTTAAGTTAAGAATAGATTAGTTGTGATCGTCACGTGACAGGATGTTATCATTCTTAGGTTGTGCGTTCCCGCCAGCAGGATCACCGAAATAAATCAGATTTTTCGGTGCAAAGAAGGCACTAGTATTTGTCGGCAGCAGTTTGTTAGTTATCTGTTGAATTTCGAGAACTTGAAAGAGAGAAATCCTGTCGTTTGTCTGGACTCAACCCCGCAGTTAGGCGGTCTTCAGTAGGCCGAGTGGTAAATGCGACGTTGAATCACCCGAGGGGCCAAGCGTCGAGGACACGCCCGCGGAAGGCTTAACTACCCGTGCCCGTTGAGTGGCAATACAAACGGACAAAAAAATTTTAAAATTACCCTCCTCTCTGTGTATCTCAGACAGGCCACCGAATGTCATGAGGGAATTACAGAAGCACGCTACAATGGTATCAAAATGTGGCAAATAGCTGAAACAGCGTTAAAGTTATTGTGGAATATATCTGCTGATACATCATTAGGTTGTTTTTTTTGTTTGTTTAACGCCGCACTCAGCTACAGAACTAGGAACATTTGCAGAGACTTTGAGTGACTTAAGTACAGTACTGCAGAGCCACATTTTGTTATCACAGGAAAAACAAGCTGGACTATTTGTACAGAATACTTTTGATGCAGATACTGATCGTATTTATAAGTCACTTCGCAATGACAGTGCTTTTCCAGCCACAGCCATTCAACACATTCAAACTGCAGCTACACTTTCTGCAGCGTGGATTTTGTAGACGGTCTCTAGAATGCCTGATTATCGTCGTCCGTTGGAAGGAGCTTTCGGTGAGACGAAGTGGTGGACACATTTTTGACAGTAGTTTGAACCTCGCATCCCAGAAATGAGGACCGGTGATAACATTCTAAATAGGTTGCAGTATGAAAAGAGTAATTGCAGGATCGCCTAGTCTAAATTGGTCAAAGTGGATAGAAATTGGTGGAAGTAACACTATCCTAGATTGTATTTGTAATGATGTTAAATTACCTATTAAAAGCGATCCTGTAAGTTTCTGTGTGCATAAGAATTAGTTATCGAAGACACATTCATTGATTTAGAAATTCATAAATAAATAAAATCAAAAGCAATAAAACTGGTGCAAACACAACCATTTAGTATCTCGCCTGTCGGTGGTGTTCGCGAAAAAGGCAACAAATTAAGACTGATAGGCTCCAAAATTAAGGTACGAAGATATTTCGATTCTGTCACAAGTTACAGATCATGGAGATCACATGGTGTCATGGGATTTCAAAAATGGATTTCGTCATGTAAAAGTAGGAGATGAATATGAAAAAAGTCCTTGGAATTCAATTGAAAGGAAAGTTTTATGTGTGGCAAGTATTACCTTTTGGACTTAGTAAAAGCCAATATGTTTTCAACAAATTGATTGGAACTACAATTATAGGAATTTAGAAGTGTTTCGTCATAGCAGCCTATAATCCCAGACATTTACCAATGATCTTGCTCCTGGCCAATGTGACATCGTCTTTTGCTGGTTACCAAGTCATGTGGGCATAACAGGTAACTCAAAAGCCGATGTTGCAGCTGAAATACCTCTTGACAAACTGTTATCCACTCCTTATCCCGTACAGTGATTTCAAACCAACCATCAAGAGTTATACTCGGGATCTAATGCAAAAATAGTGGGACACCCAGGTAGGCATCAATAAAATTAATGAATTTAAACCAACTATCGGTCATACCTTCTTTGATTTTCAGTGAAGACATGATGAGGTCGTTTTGCGACGATGTCGTATTTGCCACAGTCGGTTTACCCACGGATATCTGCTTAAAACAGATAAGGACGAACCTCCTAAGTGTATCCCTTCTGATGAAAGGTTCACCGTCAACCATATTTTGCTTGATTGTGTGGACTTGCAAATGCAAAGTATTCATGATCTCAAACAGTAAATCTGAAAGATGTTTCCCTGTGTGAGCGGGCATCTCATCTTAAACTACTTGAAAATAATTGGTCTGTATCATAAATATTAAATAATGTATATGAATTGCTTGTTTTTAAATTTGGTGTAATGCTTTTATCGACTGACGGTATTAAAGGCTCTGTCCAGGAGGTTAAAGTACCGTAAAATGATTGTCCCCCATGTGTGACATATAATTCCAATCACAATCGATGTAACTGTTATCAACCAGTGTTTTATGCCAACTCATTGCTGAGCAGTTTTTCAGTATCGGCTAGTTTTGTGCACAGCCACCAGTAGCTTAGTCATGACGTAAATACTGCTGGGGTATCGTGCAGGAAGCTGAGGTACCGTAAGTCCCTATGATCCATATCAAGGTGGCCAAGCTTTGGTTACTGGTGGCTGAAAACCCGTGTTTTAAACCGTTGTAAATACTATTGTTATGCCCAAATACGTTTGACAAATTCGGCTTTACATATAACTTTGTATTCATGACTCACTTGTATATGTATCAACTTGTTTACACTCACTCACTCACTGTATTTTAAGTTTGCACTCCGAATACAACGGAATATGGCCGACGTAGCATCCATGTTGTAAAATGAATCCGATTTTGAAATGAAAATACAATTTAGTACATCTGTTGTTGAAAGAGCGATTTAGCCTATATGTACAATTTTATTGCGATATTTTAAATTTGGACCTTGGTTTGACGTTTCTCTTATATTCTCTCACTATGCATATTTGGCTATATATGTAGTTCTCTGCAATTGGGGGATCGGAAGGTCCGGGGTTCTACCCCAAGCCGCATCATACCAAATGACGTAAAAAGATGATACTTCTTGTTACCCTGTCTGGCACTCGGCATTAAGGGGCTAAAACAAGGACTGGTAGGATCGGAGTCAGTATACTGTGTCCGAGTGGGTTATACATATTAAACTGCGGAATGGTATCTCAGTGGGCTAGCCCTATAAATCGGCATTAGTCCGACCTAGTACAAGCAGCCACACACACGTTCATGCACCTCGCTATATAAAATTATAAGTGCAATAATCTCGAACGCGACGATAAACCCTATTTCCCCGTATTTGGATATCTCTGTTTGTCAAGGCTCGACTAGTTATATGCCTAGTGTTATTTATATCTTGAATATTGCTGACTTTTTACTTTAAAGTACACTATCTCACTCACTTTAAATATTATGTTTTTTGTTCATAAGAAACGACAGCAATCAACCAATGTTCTTCCTCCTTATGGCTCACAAAGATATGTTGTATGTTCCAATATACGTATTATCTTATTTAGGAAAATCAGCAGATACCTTCTGTCAGTGCACTTAGAACTGGACAAAAAACATAATATAGCTCAGTTTGCTGAAAGAAATAATCACGTCACAAAATATGTATACTTAATTCGAATCTTAAGTACTTCCTGGTTTGTATTCTGATAATAAACCTGAAAGTCCCATGATTGTATCTTAGTTTCAGTAGTGTTTGAATTGTGTAACTTCCGGTGTCAGAAAATACTTTCTGACAGCATTAAAACCTTAATTCTGAAAGTCACCTTGTTCTATCTTAGGTTATACGAATATTTAATGACACTTTGACATAACGTCACTTCCAGTTTTGGAAAAGACATCCTTACCTAATTGGAACTTTAAAACAGAATTCTCATGCTAGGTTCATTGCAATGTGTTGACTGCTTCCGGTTTGGATTATGTCACTTCTGGTTTCGGAAAACAAAAAAACTTCAAATCAAATGAACCAATCCGTCAAGCACTGACCAGTCATCAAGATTGAAAATTCTGTGGATCTAGACTAAGTTAAAAGTTCATTGTATTTCCCGTCAAAAGGATTTAATTGTCACTCTCTCTTTAACAACAAAACAAACATTTAATTTCCAGGATAGTCGCCTCTGACGACAAGCATAGTCGCCTTTACGGCAAGCATGGGTTGTTGAAGACCTATTCTACCCCGGATCTTCACGGGTCTATTGTCTTTTAGGCTTGGAGCCCTAAAAATAGTTATCAGTTAATATCAGTCATCTGATTTATTCTGTAAGTCGGACACGGTTGGCGCAGCTATTGCAGTTCGTGGTGATGAGTTGCGTCCATGACTTATAGGATCTAATCATCATGAGTTCGAATTCGAAAGATCCGCCCTGATAATCATTTTTAGTTTGTAAGCACGAAGTCCCTGGTCATGATTTTCCTCAGAATAATAAGTGTTTGCGACCTGCACCACTTTCCTCTAATATGAAGTTGACATGGCGCGTGATATTACGGAATTACTGTAACATGGCGTAAATATTTATTCACTAATTATTTCTTATATATTTCTTATAAATATTATTTATCCTGAACATAAGGATATACATATACTGAACCGCAAAAGAAACGTCACCATGGATAGATATATGAGAAACCTTATTTGTCAAAACACTGTAAACATACTTTGAGACATATTAAAAAGATGAAACTGGGCAAAACTGATCATCAAGGTTAAAAATTAAAGTGTCAAATGTTCTTAAAGTGAAACACAACACTAGCCTCTGAGAAAATGGCATGACAAGTCAGTATCTCGTGTTGTCCGCCATGTGTATTGATGACTGCCGTGCAACGTCGATACATGGAATGGATGAGGCGGTGGTTGAAGGCCATAGACACTTGAGCCCACACTCTGAGGAACGCCTGAGGCAGTTCAGCTGCAGTTGTCGGCCTTGGTCGGACGTCATTTAGCTGTCTTTGAATCTCGTCCCACAGATGCCCAATGGGATTTAAATCGGGACTGAGGGCAGGCCACTACATGGTTCTGATTCCATTCTGCTGGGGGAAGTCTCTTGCTGCTCTCGCAGTGTAGCCACGGGTGTTATCATACTGAAACTCGTGGTTGTGGCGACGTGCCAAATGAGGTCTGGCGTATGGTCTGAAAACTTGATCAATGTACCGAGCTGCTGTGACACCATTGCCTCTCCCTGGACCGATGTTCTGGAAGACCACAGGGCCAACCTGTGCAAGACCAATTCCACCCCACACCATGATGCTCGGACCTCCCCACGAGTCTCTCTCAACAACACAAGCATCCGAATACTTGCCGGGCGGTTTGTCCAGCTTGCAATCGTCGGCTTGGTGTCGCCCATTTCTTGTCAATCTTGGCATGTGGTAGCAATTCAATAACGAATGAATGTCATCCGATCTGGGTGGATGTTTATAGGGCAAGAAGTTGGGGAACGCATGTGCATTTCAATTTGCACGGAACTCACGTGCATCGGGTCACCATGGCCGTGATGCGTTTTGGCGATCGGTTTTATTGTCATCTGCTTTGATTTTTTATCATCAAATTTCATTTTTCCGGACAAGGTATTATTACATTTTAGAAACTTTGACAACAATTACCCAGATATCTAAATAATAACTTTTCATGTAATGTTACTTGGGGTGACGTTTCATTTGCGGTTCAGTATATATTACACGTATTTATATCCTTATAAGTACGTTTATACACGTTAGTTTATGCTTCTGACTACATTGCAGGTCCTGAGCTGAACTTTGATGAAGGCACCGCTTCAGGTCAAGTAGCTGTTGACCCTCAAGGAGTTATCAATTACGATAAAAGAAGAAATGTCAAAAGCAGGTCACCTTCACTTATGAAAAATATGGTCTTAAGCAACAAGGGACTTCATGGACCAGATCATATGTACCTCGTCGTTTCAATTATTTTTGACACAACAGGCCTATTTAAAAAAGCTAACTGGAAAGCGATTAAAATTATTCTTGGCACAAAAGCTGCATTTTACAAATCAAAATCGAGAAAAAGGGTTTGGACGTGCAAAAACACCTGTACAATTGTACCTGGGCATGGTGCCAAAACCAATATAGTTTCATATATTGTTTATGACAAAGGGGAAAGAAAAAAACGAAAAACCCTCACCAAAACTGAGTCAGTGGTTATTGTCGATGGTAGATGGAGCTTTGATGTTGGGTTTCTATTGGATTTCACCAAAGGGCATGTCCACATTATTGACACCAAGAAGGCTTCAATAATATACTCATGCACAGGATTGCCTCCCAGGGAAGCACTTTGGGCAGCAGTTCAACTACATGGTTCGGATGCACATGCGAGACTAAAATCGGGAAAAGAAATCATGGCTGACCCAAAGCTGAAAACCATGTATGAGAATATACTTCAATGAAACAAGCACAATGTAAACAATGCAATACGAAAATGTACACTGAGGAAAAACACGTTTGATTCATGTGTTGTATTGTATGCGTAAGAAATTGATATTAAATAAAAGTTTAGATATTAGGATATTTGTATTATGTACAACCTATATTTTACTCATCATAAAGAAAGAACAGTTTAGAAATGAAATACATATATGGTAAAAAAATATTATCTGACTGGATTTAGGGGCCTACAATATAATATATATATATATATATATATATATATATATATATATATATATATATATATACAATATTAATATATCAGTTGTACAATAACTCTCTCCAAGAAAAATGTTCACATGTAAGATTTAACATTGTGATCTTCAAAGCTGTTACGGATGTCTTTGACTGGACTCCTGCCAACAGATGTTTGTGAAAAGGCATACCTGGCCGTGCGTAACATCTCTTGTAACGTTATACTACTGTATTAAAACGGGCTCCCTACAATTGATAAAAAATAGCATGATCGGGGGGAAAGTTCAATCTGTTAAATGCCATTATCGTTCTGCAGCTAAACAACCATTTTAAACACGTCACCACTTGATGGCATTCATACAAAAGATTTAGAATTGTAAATTTGAAATTGCAATGTCGGGGAATTAGGTTGGGACTGCACAACGTAAAACAACAAAGAGATGCATCTATAAGTGGCCAGTCTTAATTCGGCGTGTCTCATCAGTCATTTACATATCACAATAAAACATGAGCGAAACTACAACCAAAGACAATTAAAATATTCCAAGAATGCATGAATTAACAGTTATAGCATACATTTTACTGATAACGTATCATACCCTAAACATTTGCGTTTTTAAACAATGAAACGAAGACACTACATTACTTTTGGTTAAAATAAAATACGCTTGATAAAGCGCAATTGAGGACAATGTATTGTAAATAAATTAGGTGACTCTTCAGTTAGACACGTAGAAAATGGGTTACCACTTACTAAAAAATCTTACATTATCTTTGATATTTATGAATAACGTAATGGTAGACTTTAATGTAATACAACGTTACAGAATGCAACTTTAACCGAATAATAAGAATACACAAATATTCATATAAAATGTCAGTCTGCTAGTTGAATAATAGGACCACATCTTTTACATCTAAACTACTGCTAATTACAAAAAAACATATGCCGAACGGCATGTATATGGGTACAATGTATACATAAATAGAGCTTAACAATACTGGAAATATTGCAATACATGAGCAACTAAATAAAACAGGAAGTGTTATGTGCGCTCACAGATTTTGGGTGTACATTATATTAATGTAGTCTTAGCGCATAATGCTTATAAGGTAAATCGTGGGAATGAAGGGAGGCATAAACCAACACCGACTTTCAGTTCACAAATTATTTAGTAATATGCACAAAATATGTTGTTTAGTTCTATTTTATATAGTCAAAATTATTTATAAAAATTAGATGAAACTATGAGGTATTTTGAGCTAAGATATTGATAACAAACAGGTTCCCGCTTCCGGTCTTGTTCTCAGCGCAATGTGCGCATTCGTGACCAACTCGTGTTATTGCGGGACAAGCCGAATTGCGACTCTTGCCCCTCTCGTGGCCATTTTTGCGACCGGGTTCCGTCTTAGCGCAAACGGGCACACCTAAAACATTTGTCAACTCGTTGTGTACTGGTTCACATATATTTCCCCATATATTTTATATATTTCAGATGGAATTTAAAGCACATCGGGACACGCGGAATTATACATGATCTAACTGTATCTTCAGTATATTTTTTTAGATGCAAGACATATGTAAAATCAAAAATTATTTCTGAGGGATTCTTTGACGAAGAACTTGAAATCATACGCGCTTTCTGATTGGTTTGTCGTATTTTCGCACATAACATTCATCGATAGGGGGACGAGTCTTCTTGAAGGTTACGGAAACGGGCGAGTGGTTCGCTGCGACAGCTTATGACGTGTAAAGACGGACCCAAGCTCAAACGTCACCCTGTTGCAGCTTCGCCACAACTAAATATGTTTTACTAGCACATGTTTTGTGATGATTGTTAGTTTAGAATAGAATCATTTGTTCAGTTAACTAAAGCTTGAACTGACACGATGGTAGATAACAGGAAAAACGCCATGAAAAACTGTTTAGTGCCACGGCATTTCAGAAAACAGCCAGGCGTTTTGTCCATATGGGGTAACATCGCATCGATGAAATGAAACTCAATTTATGTATCAGTCTTTGGTTTTTTTCCCCACTTCCGTAATGATGGTAGCATTCAAATGAAAAAAATAGTTCGCACACACACACACACAAACACACACACACACACACACACACACACACACACACACACACACACACACACACACACACACACACACACACACACACTAAACAAACACACACACACTAAACAAACACACACACACACTCGTGTATCATCGTATAATGCTTTGAATCATCACAGGTGTTAATCCATTTCTTACAGAATTCTGATACTCTTGCTCTTAAAATAGTACATTACAGAGATTTTACTGACTATCCAGAAGATGTGCGTGATACATGAATAGGTGCTAATGGTATTTGTATCTTCTTGTGTTGGTAACATGATGTTGACAAGTTATTTCCCTTCCAAGGGGAAACCTATGCACTATCCTGCTATAGCTTTATATCCGGATTTTCATTCAAACAGCATTTCAAGACAACTGAAGTATTTAATCTCTTTACTAGATATGATTATGATATAGCAAATTTGATTTAAACAAAGTATATAATCAAATATTTTTACGCATGACGCATATGGAAAATTAACCCCACATAATTAAATCCATTTATTTATGTTAGTTGTGTTACAACTTATATAAGCTTATACTTATATGTGGTGACTGCAAAAAATGTGCCTGCATATGTAATGCAAGACTAGTACACATGCAGTCATGCAAAGATAATAATAGTGTTGTGCAGTGCAGATATATTGATGTAAAGCGAAAGAAAGAATAACATTACTCATTTAATTATTTGTGTGGGAATTCGTAAGATCCGTTTAGAATAAGGAAGCACGAAAAGATAGGTACAATGAACTTAAGAATGAGCTTAATCTGTTATAACCATGCGAGTGCCAAAGCGAACTGGATGACACTGCAAGTCAATAACAATAATCATCAAGAGATTGAAATATATCTATATTTCATTTCTCATAATTAAAATGAAAACATGGTAATGATTGGCAATAAACAGTCACTATTCATCCATACAATCATTTTATACACTGTGACCCAAATAACCCTTACAAATACCAAACTGGATTTCCGTGATATCCAATTCTCTAATTTGAACACTTGTATAATGATGTGTACTTGATGGCATAATTTGCCAGTGCCTGTTTCTTTCACAACATGAACAATGTTTCTCACCTCTTCCAGTTAAATATCTGCTGAATACTTGTGTTGCTGTCAAAATCCACAATACTTACTGACGAACTTAAATGTTTCAAACATCAAGAGCAACACTTTAAGTACTGATTGCAAAACGTCAACAAAGCGACCTGGATTGAACGATTAGCTGATCCTACCGCCATCAAGTGGTTTACTTTTACACTGTAAGAAGTCATGGTCATCCAATGCATCTTCCGTGAAACATTCACATTCCATGATAATACTGTTGTCACTTTCGTCACTGTTGTCACATATCGGCAAGTTGTGATCAGGATGCCACTCAAAGAAACAAAGTAAGTATGATCAATGCTTCATCGTTTTATTCACAGGTTAGCAAATATTTTAAACACAGAAAAGTCTCACAACAAAATAAATGTAACGAAAATTGCCGAAACGCGAACAATAAACGCAATTGAAGTAACAGTATGTTTCGCACAATTGTTTTTTCACCAGATAGTGAACTCAATAAGTGATATAAATGGCCTAAATGCGGGCACTTTAACCACTACACTATCCCACCGCCCCTAAACTGTAGGGCAAAATATGCACACCTTTTCGCGAACACCTGGTATCATCACTATTTGACACTATTTGAGTCATAAATCTCTACGCCATAATCGAAATCGTACAATGGGCATTGTCTTTAGCACATATGTCTTATGATAATGGAAAGGCAGTTTATCTTAATATATTTCGCTCTAAGCAGCATCAATTAGCTGAAGTAAAATCTAAATGTCTGAATATATTACAACCACGAGGAAGAAACATCGCATTTACTATTTAATTTCACCTTAATCTTGATTAATACCTGAGCAATTAAAAGCCATTTACAAGAAAGCGGTAACTGATCAAAGTGTAATACCAACATAAGATTAAATTACTGAAGTTTACAAACCATTGAAGTTAGGCTTGATTTTCGCTCCCACTTTTCCTTGTAGTAACTCCATCAGGTATCAGGTCGTTTAGATTTTCTAAAAATGAGGCTTGAATAGAACTACTTATTATCCAGAGGACTTCGAGTTTCGACCCGTGAAGATCCGGGGTAGAATAGGTCTTCAGAAATCCATGCTTGCCGTAAAAAGCGACAATGCTTGTCGTAAAAGGCGACAAACGGGATCGGGTGGTCAGGCTCGCTGACTTGGTTGATACATGTCATCGCTCCAAATTGCGTGGATAGATGCTCGTGATGTCAATCACTGGATTGTCTGGTCCAGACTCGATTATTTTACAGACCGCCGTCATATGGCTGGAATATTG